CCTACTACTCCTCCTCCTCCTCCTCCTCCTCTCTCTCTCTCTCTCTCTCTCTCTCTCTCTCTCTCTCTCTCCTCTATATAACATCCAACACCTACAACCATCCAGTTATACCCTACTGTATCTACCTCTTCTATCCCCAATTATAGTAGTTACAGTAGTATATACATAATCCCTCGCCCTAAAACAACGCCTACGTAAACGATAACGTAGATAGCGTAGTATAGCGTAGCCGTACGCCCTAGCGCTTATCTCACTTACTACCTATACTACCTATATAACCTACTACCTTAGGAGGTAGGAGATACATCTAACCCTTATCACTCACTAACGTATAGTACTTGAACAGAACTAAACTAGGCTAGACCTTATCGGACCCCGTACGTCCCTAGCTACGTAAGGGGTTCGTTCGGAATAGATAGATAGATCTGAATCGGTCCGGACCGTATCTACTATAGCTTCTTCTTCTTCTCTATATATTAGGTAGATAGGTAGGTAGGTAGGTAGGTATAGGTATATCCTATCTAATACCGATGCCGATTGCCTATAGATAAATCGGATAGAAGTAGATAGAGTCTATGTTTGATCTTACCTGTAGCCAAGTATATATATATATATATATACATAGATTAGATCGGAAGGATAAAGGTGAGGCAAACATGGTTATTTGATATGATGACAATGACAGGGATATAAGGGGAGACAAGCAATTTGGGGCGTTTGCGGCGGCTCTTTTGGTGTGGAACTGTGGGATCGGGTTCGGTGGTTTGAGATTTCGTTTTTAGGATTTGGCTGGGATGGGTCTGATGAACTGGGGATGGGATGGGATGGGACAGGATAGGATAGGTTGATTTTCGGAGGTTGGAGGAGAAGAGGATGGGATGGGATGGGATGGGATGGGATGGGATGGGAGAGAGAATATATTTGAGGGGAGTCTCTTGCGGGGGGTTTTGTATTGATTGTTAGTTGGTTGATTGATATGTGAATAGAACTAGCAGATGGATGAGAAGGGAGTTCCTCTGGCTCGAAAAAGATATGTATGTAGGTAGATATTCTTTCGTGGAGTCTCCTACGGGTACTACATACCTACCTTATGCTCTCTCTCTCTCCCTCAGAGATGGGTACATGATCCATAGTTCGTCACGGGGGTCCGATCATGCCGTGGCATAAGCAGTCTCGGCATCACTGAACAGCAGCCTCATCTCTGTGATGTCTTGCGGCCATCATCGCGCTGGGCGGCTCAGCGTCGGAGGCCCGATCATCAGGAGAACACGCGGAGGCCCAACCGCAGCAGGTGGCTCCATCGAGACGATTCGCTCTTCGAACACTCCGTAACACGTGCACCAATAAAGAGCCCAGCGTTGATGTTCCTGACATACCTAGGGAGCAAAGAATGCTCTTCCCCCGGTCGGCCCCGTCTAAGCTCTCCTGCCAAAGACACGGATTCGCTTGACACCTCCATCGGGGATGATCACCAACTTCACGTATCCATATGCCTGATCGATCTGGGACAGCTCCTGCTTGGTGTACTCGTGCTCCTTATCCGGACCGGTCTTTTGGGGCGTCAGAACCTCGACCCACTCACTGCCATCAGCACTCGGGGCATTTTCCGCAGCGGGAGCAGCGAACACTTGCACTTTTTGTGGAAAATTGCCTCGGAAGTGTGCAGTATCAACCACAATCTTCTCAATCAGACCCGGGATGCCGAGCTTGATGATCGTCCAGTCCACATGTTCTCCTCGAGATCTCTTCGTCTCCCATCCATCTCCCATATCCACGCCTCGTCCGGGTAGGAGCAGATTGTCTTTGGTGCCAAAATGCTGATCTGAACATGAAACTGCCACACCTCCATTCACCGTCGCCGCCAGATCAAACACCTCATTCACATCCTGTGGAAGAACAGGCACGACCTGTCCAAACAACCGAAACCGTGCAATTCCTCCATCGGGAAACATCTGCAACCTCACATGCGTATACGCCTTCTCCGTCAACGCAGGTAACAACCAACCATGTCTCTGACTCGGTCCACACTCTTGCCTCGCCAAAATCGTATCCACCCCTCTCTTCTTCCCACCATCCCAAAACTCCGCCTTCTTCACCTCCTCTTCTTCCTCTTCCCCGCCCACAAAAACCCCTTGCACAGCAACCTCGGGCGCATGATTCCCATTGAACGCAAACGTATCAATTTCCACTCCCTTGACTCTCCCACTCGCGACCCCCAATCGAATCACCACCCAATCAAACTCTTCTGTATTGTGTCGACGGGTCTCCCATCCATCATACCAAGCACCCGAAAAGACAAACACGCCCGGTTTGCGAATCGGAGGGGTTGGCGTGGTAAGATTTTCGGCGGCAGCGAACCATTCGTCGGAGAAGGAGATGATGCGCGATCCGAGAGCTTTGTTGATGAGGTCTGAATTATAGAGATATTCATTAGTTACACTTGAGGTCTTGTCTGTCTTGTCTGTTTCTCTGTCTGTGCTAGAGTTGAATTGGGAGATTCTCGGTTTTGGGTACGTTACCTATGCTGTCGGATTTGAATGTTGCGTCGATTTCGTCTGCGGGAATGGATTTTACGACCGAGTCAATGACTTCTTGGGCTGCGTCGGCTGTGAAGACTTGGGCTTCGGCCATGGTGGGTATGTTGGATTTGGAGAGCTGTTGTTAATCCTCAGGAACTGGTGCTGCAGTGTGGGAGAGAGAGAGAGAGAGAAAGGAAGAGAGGGAGAGAAAGTAGTGAGTCGGGTTTATCAAAGAAAGACAAGGTCGTCTTGCTAACCGTACCTTACTGTATCTGCCTTACCTAGTAAGTACATGTATTCTTGCGGTGGAGTAGTTCAAGGTCGCGAACCCTATCGATAACTCTCCACGCTATCAGGTATTAGAATCGAGTCACAACCATAGCTCGGCCACCTCCGCCGGCGGCGTCGCGGCTTTCTCGATTTGCCAGACGTGTTTTTCACACTTGAGACTACCGAGTGAAGAAGACGGGAGTCTTATCGCCTGCTGGAGGTCTTGGTGGAGGCGAGGATGAAGAGGTCAAACTGAGTGCAATGAATAGCAGCATACATTCTGTATGCATCAGCAACATTTCTGTGCTATACCATCTGTGCTAGCTTGTGTATAGATTGAGTAAAATGTGCAACATGCGCCATGACCCCCTTCCCAGTCTTCCATAATGCACATCCTCCTTAGTCAATGCTGACCATGTCACCTCCATCGTATGCAATGCCAAACGTGTTCAGAATGTTCTTCGCAGCCTTCTCTCCTGTGGCAAAGGCGCCATGCACACAGCCATTAGCCACCATCGTGCAATGTTCGCCAGCAAACTGAAGTCTGGAACCTTTATGGTTCTCCAACGCATTGAGCAGCAACTCGGGTTCGTCCCCGACTTTGTCTGCAGAGTATGATCCGTAGCCCGCGAGCGGATCCTGTGTCCAATGGGTAGTCTCAACGTTAATCAGACGGGGAAGCGTTTTATATGGCTCAGTTCGAAGCAGCTTGAACAATGGCTCAAAGAACTTATAGATGGCCTGTTTATCGGTCATTGCTTCAATGCGTTGAGTCAAGGGCTCCGCGATCTGCACACACAGCTCCTTGCCGCCCGTCATAATCCAGAGATTGATCGTTACTGTCGCATAATTGAGAATGTTGTCGGGCTCGTTTGAGCTGCTCGAGCTGGGAGAAGTAGAGTACGAATCTTCCTCGAGTGCGGGCGGTGTAGGATAGAACATGAACTGATCATTGTCCTTGCTCCAGAAAACATCTGCAAACTCAAAGAATATCTTGCCTAATGCGCCATATGAGAACTTTGAGAGTGCAAGCTGCATATCATCTGGAAGTGGAGGGTCGAATGTGACCAGATTCCGCCTCAGTGCTCCCAATGGCAGGGTCGAAATGACAGCATCAGCTTCCATGACAGCGACGTTACCACTGGCATCATGATATTCGAGAGTACATGAGCCGTCCTCGCTCCAGGAGATGTGATCGACAGTCTTGTTGAGGTGGACTGTGTCTGGCAGCAGCGAGTCAGCTACCCACTTCACCACGTTGTCATAGCCACCTTTCATGTACAGGTTGCCTGTGGAGGTACGCCACTGTCAGCAGAGCAAGCGATCGTGATAAGGTTAAGCCAGACTCACGTTCAGTGACGAAATAGGAAAGGTGTCTGGCAGATGCGGTTTCAATCGTGGTACCAATCCACAGCTCTACCTCTTTGAAGGCTTGAGGCGCCCAAAGGCGCTCATCTTCAGTGATCAGCTCGTGTTTGTCAACGAAACCTGGTAGAGTTGGGTCAGAAGCAAATCTCTTGAAGATGCGGACTGTCTCAGTGGTCTGTCTTGAAGCCCGTCGAGATGGTGGACTTGAGCTCAGTGAGACATGGAGCATCGGGGACAAATCCCAACCGTTGTTGCTTTCCGTACTTACTGTTGACAAAGTCCGAGGCCGTCTGATCAGGTGCATCTGGGTGAGTCTCATACCACCATTGCATGTGATCAGCGGCCTCATCAGCGACCTTCTTCGCCTTGAATTGGGCGCCTGCGCGGCCCTGCTCAGTGTAGTAGAGCGGCAGACCATCATCGTAATAGTAATCTAGCTTTAGCTTCGAGATCAGCTTGACCAGCTTATTCTGCGATGTCTCGTGGAGCCATGCGGCACCTTTGTTTCTAATGTTAGCAAGGGAAGCCAGAGGCCCTGGGGTGAAGAAGCCTTGCGGCAATCTACGAACCAACACAGGTCTGCAAAGCTCAGTATCAGCATTTGCAAGTTCGTGCTTGAGGACTAACCAATATCTCTTGGTGCTCCTGCTTCGTTGCGAGTGGTGTGGATACGTCCACCTATGCGATTGCGTGCTTCAAGAATCACAACATCGACGCCATGACGCTGAAGGCAAGACGCGGCACGGAGACCTGAGATTCCCGCACCCAACACAACGAGCTTGACCTTCTTTCCTTCAGCTCCGGTCCTGGGTGCCAGCTTATCAACTGCCGCTGGAGTCTCTGCCTGCAAGGTCGTGCTAGGCGAGACAGAGATGGAATCTTCACCCAGGCCGGAGCCACGATTGGAAGGTTTCTTGGGGGGACTGGCACATATATGCGTAGTTTGGTGGTATAAGTGAGCCATGTTGTTTTGACACGCTGACATTCAGCTGCGCTGTGTGATGCTTTTAGTGTATGGTATGCCGAGTCGAAGGGACGGACGGACGGAGGGACGTGTGGAGCAGGTGTTGGGGACGATGAGGGCTGATTCTGGTGTCAGTAGTAGTTCTATGGGGAGAACGAAGCCGTTGTTATTGTCGTCGTCGTTGTTGTTGTTCGTGGGTGGAAGAAGGGAGTAAAGCAGCAAAAGGTAAGGTAATAATAGCGCCGAGCATGCAAGGAGACCTGGAAGAGCAGGCTTGCTGGCACGTGCACAACCTAGCGTGGGATGTGACGGATGTCATCATGGCGGAGATATCCGGCGTAATGAACAACCGGGAACGGACCGGTTCCTTACATGTACTTATGCACGCTCGAAATGGATAGACTGGATAGTGCTGCCGAGATCAGCCTCAAGTTCTGTTTCTCGCCGGTTGCCGGTGAGCGATTGCGCAAGGCCGTGGTTGATGGTTATCACAGGTAGCTTGACGTACCTATGTACCTGGTCCTAGCTAGGTTATAGGTACCTGTATCTCATATGTACTACCTCCCCCTAGGAGGTAAGACACAAAGAGAGGAGACACAACCCCATCGGGCTCTTGTATCATCGTCTACCTATTCCAATGCTTTCGCAACCATTTTCAACACCTCTTCTGTGGTCTTCCCACCATTCTCAGGTGCTTTTCTGATCGCAGCCCACTTCTCGCCATGCTTCGGTTCATTCTCCACACAACTCTCCACAACCTGTCTGACCTTCTCCTCAGTCCCATGCTGTAGTAGAAACTTGTACCACCAAGCCCACGAATCACCATAGTCCGGGTCCAGTGTCACAGCCTTCTTGAACCATGTATCCGCCTTGTCCAGTTTACGTTCTGACCAGAAGATTCGCGCCGCAGTCACAAATAGGATAGGATCATTTTCAACTTTTTGTATAGCTTCCAATATCCTTGGTTTGCGTTGTGTCCTCGCTTCCAGATTCCAGATGCGTTCTGCCCATAGGAGACCAGATTTGGGACATTCCTGTAGTGCTTGTGCCATCTTCTGGCTCGCAGCCGGGTTGGACGTCGAAGTATTTGCGCTGTTATTAGCTCTCTTTGCAGCTCGAATTTCTAGTCGCACGGACTCGGTCCAAATTTGAGGATTGGCAGGAATTTGCTTCCGTGCGCGGTCAAGAACCGAACGTGCTTTGACGACGACGCCCATTTTCTCTTCTAGCCGTGACCACAGTAACCACAACGGAACAGACTTCGGGCAGCGATCTGCACCATTTCGGTAGGCCTCGCGTGCTTGTGGAAGGTTTCCTTTAGCTTCGTAGATTTGACCTTTGAGCATCCACAATTTGTCGTTCTTAGGAAACGCGTCGAGTCCTTCGATTACCAGCTCCAGTGCGCGGTCGCTATTGCCAGTCTGGCGTTCGAATGCAGCACTGCGAACGAAGACGCGATCGGTACGCGCTTCCTGTCGGGCTTGCGCAAGGAGCAGACGAGCGCGGTCTTCTTGCCCGTTATCAGCTTCCAGTTTGACGGCCGCCAGGTAGATGTCCTCGTTCTCCGGGTTCTTCGAGAAAGCTTCACCGAGCACACGGCGAGCACCTTCAACGTCTCCAGCGAGCCACTTCTCTCTGGCAAGCTGCATCCATAGTTCAGAAGAATTCGGAATAGACTTGACAGATTCTTCGAGTATGGCCCAGAGTTGTTCCTTGGTTCCATGAGTCCGTTCCAGATCTGCCGCGGCAATCCAAACACTCTTGCGGTTGTAAAACTCCTTTCTGGTGATGGCATAGATCGCTCTGGCAGTCTCATATCGGCCTCTGTTGGTCGACGATTTGGCATCATCAAGCCAGATCTGCTTTCGGTCGTCGTCTGCATCAAGACTCCAAGCAATCGTCTCTTTGATGATGGCACGACAGGTAAGTGGTGCCCCTTCTTCCTCGCACACTTCTGCTTGTTCGATCCACTGTTCACGTTTCAGCATGGCAGATTCGCGCTGCAACGCTTTAATCGCCCGCTCCATGACCTTGTAAACCATAGCCTCTTGACCAGTCTGTTCCTGGAGACGTGCGGCTGCGATCCAGATTTCGAAGCTCGCAGGCACGGCCTTTCGCGCCTTGTTCAGCACGACTTGTGCCTGCTCAGGCGTCTCGAGACGTGCGAGTGCAAGCCACAGCTCAGTAGATAGTGGGATGATCTCTGTAGCTTTGGCAAGCAATAGCTTCGCGTCTGCTGGATCCTCTTCAAGATTCACAGCCTGCTTCCATATCGCAACAGACTGAGGGATATGATCCAATGCCTTTCGCAAGACTCGCTTCTTAGCCGCAGGGACAGCTTCCAAGCTCGAGGCCTCTAGCCACAGCCGCACTGATCGGTCGTTGTTCTCGATTGCCTTGGCTGCAATAATTTTGGCGTTTGCATTGTCGTTCAGGCGGATGCTCTCCAGCCAGACATCTTCGCTTTTCGGACACATTTCACAGCCACGACGAATGACGTTTCTTGCAGCGACAATCTTTCCTGCATATTCTTCCAGACGTGCGGCCGCAATCCACCCCGGACCGTGCCTGGGATTGGTCTTGATGACCGACTCCAGCAGAATTCGCGCTCGGCGAATATCGCCAACTGGAATCTCTCCAGCTTTCAGCTGGGAGTTGGTTAATGCAGTCATGTAGCCTCTCGGATCGACAGTGGTACTCGTCCCTGATGCAAAAGAGGTCTCGGCCCCAGCAGCCTTGTCCAGACGTGCCTTCAGGACCTTATCTCGCGCAGCTCCGATGTCCGCAAAGTTGGTCATGGTTCCATCGACCTGCTCGCTTGATCCGCCACTGCCATCTGCCTCGGTAGCCATTCCATCGTCTTGAATCTCAGAGCCTAGTTGCCCTGCGTCCCTCTGACCTGCCAATACACTGTCGGGAACGGCGTAGAAGCGCTGCTTCAAATTCTGCTTGCTCCTCCGATTCTTGCCCGTCAAGTCTCCCACTTCGGGTATCTCGTGCCACTCTTCATCGCTGACGGTGCCCAGTGCACGCTTCAGGTCGGCAAACTGCTGTGAGATTTTCGGATTCTTCGCTTCGTACTCTTCTCGTTCCCGGCGCTCGCGGTCTTCCCTATGATTCCTCAAGTCGGCATATTGTCCATGTAGAACGGGTGGTGATGTGCGCTGCAGAGAAGATGAACATGGATATTTCAATTTCAAAGGTGCATAGGAAATGTGCTAAAGGAAGGGCATGGAGAGCAGAGGGAGAGCGACTGACCTTGATATCTTCCGGCGCTTCTGCATGCGGTCGTCGACGTCTTGGTAGATGCGGTCGGCCTCGTCGTCCTCGCGATCATAATTGCCGCTGGCGAACAAGCCTTCTTCGTTCTCAGCGTCCCGATAGCGCTCTTCGTCCTCGGCATCGTCCTGCTTTTTGTCGAGCTTGTACGCGCTGGAAGGGTCGATACCAGCATCCGCAGCGCGTTTGGCGAGTGCCGCTTTGATCTGCTCTTCACTGGGCCCTTCTCGCGCTGGGCCCAAGTCGGACCGTGTTGTGAAGCCAGTCGCACCACGCCCGAGACCAGCGACATAGTTTTCTGGAGCCGCTTGCGACAGGAAGTCTTTGCGTCCGGACATCCTTGCTGAGGGCGAATGTGGCCGTCTTTGCTACGGATGATGCTGAAACAGCGGGAGCTGTTGAAAGCACGGGCATGTATGTAGGTATTGGCGCGAGAACAACTGCAAGATTCATGCGTCCGCTGACTCGCGACTAATCATGACTCGCGCTATAGGTAAGGCTGAAGCCCTAGGTAACCGAGGTTGCTCCGTTGGTTGGAGAACTGTTGGCTCTTCGAGGACAGAAAGCTCCCGTCCAACTTCTAAGTAAGGACAGTGTCAAGATTCAAGTACATACAGTAGCGAAGTCGTCGAACTATTGACGTTATTACGACCGCCCCAATTGTATCTTCTGCCCTCTTTGATTGCCGAGGAGTTTGGAGGCTCGGCCTTGCATAAGGGATCCTACCAACTAGAGCCACACAAAACGATGTCTTTCGCCAACCTGACGTCCATTTGACAGAAGAGCTAGAGTGATGAAGACAGGAAAGCGGACTAGAGAGCTGTCAGCTCAGAGTAGAGTATCGTTGACGACAGGTACGGCATATGTGCAGCAGGTGATGGCTTCATGCTAACAATCCATAGACACTCCCCAAATACCAATAAAACTATGTAACCACCACTTTCCATGCTCATCGCGTTCCCACTTCGCCTCTCTGATTGCTTCAACGCTCGTCTGCTCTCGCCCGCTGATTCTGACATGCACAACAACGGTGGCACAACCACGCTTCTCGTCTATATCGGTCGTCAAGTCCAGTACCTCTTCACGATATTTGGGGAACTTCTTTGCGACACCACGCAATACCTCCAATCCCTCCTCGAAGGTTAATGCTGTAGGCTTCGAGACGTTGTAAATCCACGTCTTGAAGTGCGGCGAGACGTGTTCTAAGACGGCTTTTGCTGTTGGCGAGCCGAGTTCGAAGTCGCGTTCGTTCACCATCTTGATGTTGCTCGTAGAGACCTCCTCTAGAGTCGCGGCCAGACTTTTGCTTGGAGAGGTGCTAGCAAGGCTCTTGTTGGCAGGCAGAATGTATCGAGGTTTCGCTCTATCGGACATAGTGGTGCAGCTTGTCGCTAGTGTCCTAGCGTGCAGCGCGCAATCAATGGTCGAGACTCGAGAAATTCCTTGCCCTCCGACTCAAGTTTTGGTCATGCCTCTCCGCCCTCTCGCCCTCTCGCCCTCTCTCTCTTTCTGTCTCTCTTTTTCTGTCGTCCCCTCCCTCTCTCTGTCTCTCTGTCTCTCTACCTGTGGCTGCGCTAGCTGCGAGGCTCGCTTGCGCGTGGAGCGGGTCGCCGGGATTCCTCACTTTTGGATTTCGGGTCAAAGTGAAGCTCCACTCTCCACAGTCCACAGGCACCAACTAATTGGTACAGCTCCACGTGAGCCGGCAGTATACTGGGTGCGGTGCAGATGTCCCTGCATGCATTACTTCTATTGGAGGCATCGGACCTCCGGGCGGGGCCCCGCGCCGGGCCTCTGCTGTGTAGTGAAGCTTAAATTGACCAATGTTGTCCTGTTGTCCTGTCCAATGGCCAATTGGTGCAAAAAGACTCCATCGCCTTGACATGACATGGCTTGTTCTGCTTGCAGACCCCACATTCCAAGATTTCTTAATCAATAATGATTTTAAACTGCCTAAATTTCAAGAGTTCGTGCACAAAATTGATTTCACGGAAAAAGAACGCGATATGTACAATGCCCTTTGGGCCTTTACCACTCAAGCTCAGGGCATCTTGAGGACATACGAAGACATCTGTCGGTAGAGGCTGACCAACTTCTGGCGCCGACGTGCACATACTGGAGATTCTTCTACGACTGCAAAAATGCTGCAACCACTGGAAGCTCTGCGGCTGTGGCGAAAGGCTCGCAAACCTGCTCGCTCAGCCAGAGATCCAGAAGACAGTGGCCCTGACTCCGGAGAATGCAGAATAAAAAGGCACCACAAGAAGTCTTACAGGTCCAAATTGAGTCGCAAGAAGATTGCAGCTCGTCCTAGCGGGGGAAATATGTGTATCAAACCTCTCTTGAGCATTTCGATTGATGGCTTTGGGATAGCATCCATCTATCCTCTCGCACAATTTGGCCGAATATGAGAACGATCCAGCTATTTTTTGTTTGAATGTGGGGGCAAGACCTTAGGCACCGCAGTCACGATATCCTGCTAGCAATTTATGAAGCCTTGCTGACCTCGGGCGCGAAGTCGGCGAGACATTGCATCGCATACTCTCTCCTCGCGATCAAGCAGTCTTCGGTGTCTCAGATCTTCAAAGCCACGTACAGCCCATCGCTTCATTGGATGGTGCCTTCTTGAATCCAGCTGACAGCCATGAATCATCATCCATATCATGTCCACCACATCATGTCCATCATATCATGCCCTCTCGGGACATCTTCGCGGGTGTGATGTCTCCTCCTCCTCCTCCAATACCACACCCCCTTCAATCCCTCGTCCGCCTATCCCGTTCTCTAGGTGCCGCTAGCTTTCAAAAACTTCTCCGCCCCTTCGTTATGATCATTTCTTACTCGCCGAAGCAGCCTTCCCCTTGACCTTCTTCCTCTTACTACGATCTCTCTTCTTCAAACTCTGCATTCCCGTTTTACACACTTCTGCATATTTCGCGAAGAAGCTTTCCAGATCATCTGGCTGGACAATAGTGCTGAGTTTGATCTTTTGTGCGGTGGTCTTTTTCGAGTCTTTGGACTGTGATTTCCCGTCTGTGGCTCGGATGATTATGGGGAGAGGATCTGACGGAGGGTTGAGATCGTGGAGAGGGTCGAGGGTTTGCGATGGGTTGACTGGTGTTGATGCGGGGTAGGTCACTGAGAAGTGGGTTAATGTCGTTGGAGGCGGTGGTAGAAGGGAGGGAGGGGAGATGTACATCGTTTCTGTGTGAGGAAGATGGAGCCGTGGCCCTTTTCTTGGGTTTTAGCAATTAGGGAAGTGAGTTTTGTAAAGAACTGGAGGAAAGTGGTGAGTTGAGCGATTCATGTGGTCTTGTGGAGAGGATGATGTTTACCTCATCGTTGCCGAGATGTGCTTTCGCCATGTTGATGTGTGTGTACATGTATGTAGTACCTAGGAGGTTGTACTGGACAGCGATACGAGACCTGTCGTACACTCACGGTCCATATTCGAGGTGGGGCGAGCCTTGAACTTTGAACTTTAAACCCTGCAGCCGATCGCCCTCGCCTTCGGTGTGGAGAAAAATGTTTAGGTAGGTACTTTCAGTTTCGATCTTTCTGTCGCCAACATCAAACTTCACTATCTTCGCATACTACCTGCAGTAGACCAGGACGATCATCATGAGTCGCTCTACATATGGGGGGCCGAAGCTGCCGAAGGACTTGCTAGAAAAGGTGTCAGGTGGCAGAGTCGCCAAGCGCAACCACCAGCAGACGAGGAAGGAGAAGAGAAAGGCGGACAGGACAGACAAGAAGAGGCATATACATCCACGATCGAGGGTGGAAGTGGAACAAATTCCCAAGCCCAGGGTGAACATAAAGGTGCCAGCGAGAACGCTAGAGACGACAACATCGGTTCCGAAGAAGCGACAACAGGTTACTGTCTCCGCGAGTGAGGACGAGTTCGAAGATTTCGATGGCGAGGAAATCAATGGAGCCGGCAGCATGGACGGGAAAGAGGAAGACGAGGAGGACGATTATCCCATCGCAGCGAAAGTGCCCAAGGCTGTCCAAGCGAAATTGGACAACGATGACGCAGAAATCCGTGCGCTGGAGAAGAAGCTGGGCATGCGGGGCAAAAGCAATAAGAAAGTGGGAGACGATGAACTGGATTGGCTGATAGGCGGTGGACTCAGTTCGGAGGACGAGGATGGCTTTCCGCTGGCTAGTAAGAAGAGAGCGGCACCTGAGGATGAGGATTGGTTGAGGCAGAAGAGACGGAAGGCAGAGAAGCAGAAGACAACAAAAGTAGTGGAGCCGGAACTGGAAAGTAGCGGGTCCGATGAGAGCGATGGAGATGACTTTGCGGAATTCGCAACTGGTGACGAGGACGGCTTGGAGGGTGGCAGCGAAGAGGATGAGCAGGAGGATGATAGTGAAGAGGAGATCGAGAATCCCTTCTCTGCTGATGAGCTTTCCGACGATGGTCTGGACGAAGACGACGAGAGTGTGGATCAAGCACCAAAGGAAAGAGAGAATCCATATGTTGCACCTACGGTCAAGAATGCAGCCAATTCTTCGACGCCAGCAGCAGGAAAATATGTTCCACCATCAATGCGTAAAGCCGCTTCCGGAGACGCAGAACTCCTGCAGCAGCTTCAGCGACAACTAAATGGGCAAATGAACAAGCTCTCAGAAGCTAACATGCTGTCAATTCTTGCTGCCGTCCAGGATATTTATACGAAGAACGCCCGACAACATGTAACATCAGTCCTGATTGAACTCTTCAAAAATCGTGTATGCGATCGTTCTGTACTCACAGACAACGAAATGATCCTCCTTGCTGGCTTTGCGACAGCAGTCTACCGCACCACTGGAGTGGATTTTGGTGCACAACTCCTGGAAGCAATGGTAAACGCATTCGACCAATACCATGCCGAGAGCAACTCCGAAGCAAAGCAGACTCTGAACATCCTTGCCTTTCTTTCAAATCTCTACACCTTACATGCTATCGGGTGTGAAGTCATCTTCGACTACATCCGCATCCTGCTTGAAAACTTCTCTGAAAGCAATACCGAGTTACTGCTGCGTGTCATCCGAATATCTGGACAACAATTGAGACAGGATGATCCTACGGCCTTGAAAGATATCGTACTTCTGCTTCAACGAGCCATTAATAAAGCCGGTGGTGCGGAACAAGTCAGCGTGAGGACAAAGTTCATGATCGAAACCATTCACAACCTCAAGAACAACCGTACGACCTCCGGGGGAGCAGGCTCAGTCAGCAGTGTCGAGCATACTGCTCGCATGAAGAAGACTCTCGGTCAGACCAAAAGTCAGAAGACATCCGAACCTTTACGAATCAGCCTAGCAGATATCAGAGATTCGGAAAAGAAAGGTAAATGGTGGCTGGTCGGTGCATCTTGGCGTGACCCTGCAAAAATGGCCAACAGTACTAGTACAACAACAATCCTGCAGTCAGCTCCTATGCCCCCCACCAGCGAAGACTCCTCTGATTCCGATCCAACTGAACTCAACCTGGACGCCCTCGCCCGTGCTCAAGGCATGAACACCGATGTCCGCCGTGGAATATTCATCTCTGTGGCCGGTGCTGTAGACCCTGTTCACGCACATCTTCGCCTTCAAAAGCTCAACTTGAAGAATAAACAACAATTGGAAATCCCTCGTGTGTTGATTCATTGCGTGTCAGCCGAACCGGTGTATAACCACTTCTATACTCTGGTGGCCTTGAAATTCTGCTCGGGACGCCGCATGGCCAAAGCGTGGCAATTCGCACTTTTCGATATTTTCCGTCGAATTGAAGCTGACGCTGACGCGGAAGAAGGAGAGGAGGAGTTGAGTGTGAGGATGATCTATAATGTTGCGAAACTGTACGCCACCATGGTCGCAGAAAACCTATTGCGCATCACGATCTTGAAGCCTCTGCAGTTTATGGCTTTGTCCCTCAAAGCTCGGATTTTTGCAGGAGTCCTTATTACGACATTGTTGGTACAAATGAGAAAGAAGCATGGGAAAGAAGGTTTTGGGAGCGCAGTCGAAGAGTGTTTCAAGCAGGCGCATGGAGTGCCGGACATGGTGAAAGGGTTGGATTGGTTCTTGGAGAGTGAGCTTTTGGGGAGTGACATGTTCGGTAGCAGTAAAAGAGAGAAGAAGGTTGTAGCTGCTGGAGTGGAGTATGCTGTGGAGGTTCTGAGGGACGAGAAAATGATAGAGGGAGTAGCTTTTGAGGGGAGAGGTGGGGAAGAGAGTGATTGAGATAGGTACCGTACGGTCCGTACCTGTCTGTTCTGGCTCTTTCGACGGGCTCCCTCACTCTTTCTGGCCACGGCGCTCGCCACTTTCGGCCTGAGCACGTTGTCGTCCGCCTGATTGATCACATACAGAAAACGAGGACGTCATGGACCACCGGTACGAACCAATCTTTCAGTGGCGGTGCAGCAAGAGTGTTTAACAGAAACAGCCTAATTCGATACCACGAATCGGAAGAGAGAGGGAAAGAAAAAATGCACGTTCTGATTTCGGCTGTCTACTCTCCTCGGGCAGCGGCCACCCGCTCGGCCATTACATTGTGGTCATGTCTTGGTACTACAGGAAGACAGGCGCGGGCCACTCAATTCCGCTGGTGGAAGCAGATGCTCCAGCGCTCCTCATCATATGGATCTCCCTCCACCGCCATGGTGGAGTGGTTCAGCTGGTTGCTGAGAAAGACAACCATATCGTATGGCTGGAGGTGCACATGGAGCTGTCGGTCTGTCCAGTGCTGTTTAGTAGCGGCTCTTCGAACGAATAAGAAAGGGGAAAGCGCTTGCGACACTGTACATTCTGTAAGCTTTGCCATGAGGTCGAGCTGAATGTATCTCGGGTCCAGGGCACCGATCAGCCGCTCGTATACTTCTTACGCTCTTAGTTCATCGACCGCTGCCTACCTTAGTTCTCGCCCTCCCCCTGACTTCTTCGTACAAGATAGAGCGGTGACTACGGAAGGGTGAAGAGCTATGAATCGGGCGCATCCTCTTGACAGATATCGCATTTCTCATCAGGTTGGGGATTTGCCGTCTCAACAATGCTTCCAACAGGTAAAGCAGTCAAGAGTACCTTGCTGATTAAACTTCTGGAGTTGACATTATAGTCCGTAGCCAGACGCGTACGAGCGGCAAGTGGGCTGTATATTCGCTGCTCTCATCAAACGTGCGCAGCGACCGTGCTTCTCGAGTATATGGTGGCAGCAATGTACCTCTCGATCGATTACGGGGCTTTGGTCAAGCGTGCTGCTGGACCGAGCACATGTTGTGGGCGCACATGGCGCAGGTGTAAAATGGAATTTCCTCCGGCTATTTCGCGCGCTAGGGTGAGTGACTTGTAGGTCCAGGATGGACAGTAGGTCTTCGTGCCGGCCTCGTCCTTGGTTCAGAGAACGTAATTTTTCTCAAGACGCTGCAGCACGCTCGGTCGCTCGTCCTGAAGCTTGTTGAGAATTGAGAGGGACAGGAGTCCACGGACACCGAGAATAATAGTATTTTCTATTGGTATACTTCTGATGGTGACGATATAGGGGCATGTAAATTCTTTCCTGGAACCCGGCATATATGGTAGGAAAGCCCTCGCAACGAGGGAGGATTTCGCCCGCAGCAACCGATCCATATGCATAATAGCTTCCTTCTTACGTGGATCTTGCTTCATTCCTTGGAATATATGGCTTTCTTCAAAGTGATCGATGCTACATGTAGTTGCTTGCATGCTTAGAAGAAGCCTGCTAGACATACTGTCAAGCCGCAGCAGCAGAAGAAGAAGTGCGAAGTCGTTGATAATGAGTATATTATCAATATGTGATGTTGTAGCAAAGCCCGATCGTCGAAGCATGAAATGTCGGAAACTCGCTGTTAGCATCTCCGCATTGTCTAAAAGGCTGCATGACATGTTGCCCTTGCCAGAAATATGAAGACTTTCTTTTGATCAAAGCTCGGCGCTGCCTGGACGTGCTCTGGCAAGTTCCTCTCGAAAGTATGATCAGATCAGATCAGTGCCGCGGCTCTTTTGCTCTCGGTTTACGCAAAGGGGCATGTATATATATCATGTTTGCACCTCAAGAGGTGTGAAGCAAACATACCGTACCTAGCTGGGCGATTGCAAGGATGATAGATTGGTCTAGAGGGTGATCGAGAGAAAGCGGGAGTCAAATCCTGTCCAGCAGCTTCGTAGATCTGTGAAGGAAGAATGGCTACAATGCTTGGGTTCTCCCTGCGAATTTGTCAGTCAGCTCTATGATCTCAATGACAGCCATGGAGGTTGCGGCAATGGTACACGAGCAGCATTTTTAGCTGTGGTAGGATACTCCAGTGCTGGTAGAAGTGTCTTCAGTTCGTCCTTCGCTGGTGAGTCGTATTTGTTGGGATATATATGGACATATATTCTGCTTTGTCATCAGCACACCAAGTAAATTGGTGCAGTTGAAAAGAACATGGAGTAACGAATCAGCTTCGTAGATCAGCGGAAGATCGCCGGGCTCATAACCCGGAGGTCGACGGATCGAAACCGTCCGATGCTAACATGTGAACTCCATCTTTTTGCGTCTTTTTTTCTTTTTGATCTTCTTTAAAATCATCTTTTTTGCCAAGCTCCCACTGTATGATACAATCTATATATTCTATATCGCCGATGCTAAGCACATCAGAGCGGGTTCCTTAGCGTAAGCACATTCACCGACCTTCGACACCGACGATCAGCTACTAACGGCAAACAGTCAGTTGGTTAGAGCGTGGTGCTAATATGGCTTCCATACCATCTAAGTAACGCCAAGGTCGAGGGTTCGACCCCCTTAGGGACCACTATTATATCTGGTGCTCTACATTCGCAACGTAACAGTTGACGACCGTTCCTTTTGCTTTTTGTTGAACTACATGTAGTCCCGTTGTTGTGCAACGCATCTACCAGCTTGACCGGACTTTTTTCAAAGCTTAATTTTGGACAGAAAAGTCGTGGGATATCGCTGCCAACCTTAGGTAAGGTAGTTCACTTTTCTCCTATCTTGAAAACATCATGTCCTTCTATTTTTGACATAGGTTGCTTCTGGCGTTGTTCAATCAACCCCCATAGTGACACACCCGAGGAGTGTAGGAACAACGGAACTTCTTTGTCACCACCATGGCGATCTCAAGTGCGATGGAATCGCCGGATCCGGCGACAACACAGATAATCTCTTTGTGCATAAGGTAAACTCTTAGTCAAGACGGCCAGCTGCGGTCTTTTGCTGTTCAACTACAACATACCATACACTCAAGACGATGGGTATCAAGGCCGACATGATTGCCGGAGAGGCAGCAATGGAGGAGCTCGAGTCTATCATCAATGGCGAAAACTTCATCTTTGAAGACACGGTCAATGAAGATCTGCAGTCTAGCGTCGAGAGCGACTTCTCATCTGAGGAGGAAAACACGACAATCGAGGAATTGGATCTGAGAGAAGAGAGAAGTTTCTCGGATGAGGATTTGATTGATGAAGACATTGAGCTCTTTCGAAAACGCCAGAATAACCCCTTATTCGCAAGTTTTCACACACCATACATTGATTCTGTGATGAACGAGGTGGAAGACATCGCAACTCTGGTCAACATTGAAGATTTGGGAGCAGATACCTCTCCTATCGACGAAGCCTACCCAACTCCGTACGACTGGGTCGAGTATGAGAATGATGTTGCTGAGGTCACAGCGGAGAACAACGACATAGTGGAAGTGTTTGGCGAACAATTCGCCACCATTGCAGCAACTGGAGGCAATCTACTCTCAGCATGGCTGCTCATATCTGCCTATTTCCACGTGTGCAAGGTAGCAGGAACGTGGGTACCCGGAAAATTGACCAAAGAACGATCAGCCTCGCTCGTCTCAGAATATGGCCATCTCATCCTCCGCGCCGCAACAAAGTCCGTCGAAGAAATCTCTCGATTCACTGCATCTCTCGGCTCAAACAATATGCCTCCCGCACCGCAGCAGCATCAACAACAACAAAAACAACAACAACACCTTCCACCACGATGGCAACAACTCTTCCACGAATTCTCCCTCCAAGGCTTCGAACACGAAGACCTCATGATGCAATTCCGCAAACTCCTCGGCGAAACCTCAAACCCCAAAGTCGCAGAAACCATTTTCGAGCAAACTTTCCGTAACCTCTCCGCCGAAACTAGACTTCTCAACTTTGCCCCGGCTTTACAGCAATACTTCTTCTTCCCTCACTCCTCCTGCTCCTCCCCGAGCAACGACGAAACTACCTCTGATGACGACGACGCACTACGCGCCCTCATCACCAAATTTAACCCCGAAGCTAACCTCATGTTTCTGAATAACATGAAGAAGAACAAAAGGGGCAATACCCGTATCTCTGAGAAGGAAAAGGGTCGGTTATCTCATCCTCCTCCTCCTCCTTCTTCTCCTTATCCTGTTTCAAAAAGGAGTTTGCAGTCCCAGGGTCAGTCACAGGAGAAAAAGAAGAAAATGCAAAAGACAAAGACTGAGAAGAAAAAGAAGAAGACAGTCAAAAAGACGGGGAGTAGTAATGATGGTAGCAAGAAGAAAGTGGGAGGCGGAGTTTCTGCGGGCAGGGTGATGAAGAAGGGGAAGCCTGTTACAGCAGCAGCAGCATCAGGGACAAAGATGACCAATAGCGCTACTACTACTAGTGACACTGCTGCCACGATCGGTGCCAGGAGGTACAATTTGAGAAGGAGGAAGTAGAGTACCTTAGGGAAAGAGAAAGGGGTCTACACAACGTATGTACGAGATCATTTCGTAATCATTGGCATTAATTATGTAATGTGCTTCTCGCGTGTGTTACCTGCTCATTACTGTAATAAGTACAATCTTGTCCCGAGAGGACGCTCTGATGATGCAAGCACGACTGTTATATGATGCTCTTATACTTCATGTATGCATCCGGAACCCAATTCCATCGCTATGCCAATGTCACCACCAGTTCCCAAGAGCGCCGCGCTGTACCAAGAATGACGAAAGCACCAAACTGCCCACCTCCCGGCCAGCCTAAGGGCAATGGGCTCAGTCAACGGAGCAATGGGGTGTATGATGTGCTTTCTTCGTCGGCTTTGGGTCGCAAGTACTGTCGTTCCTCAATGCTTCCTCTTCATCACTATCAATCTGTCTGCTAATCTTCTCTTTACCTTTGGCAGACTTGACCGGAACAGGTCCAAGCTCAACCTTTGGGGAATCACGGTTGGCACCAGAGACAGAATCTGGCGTAAGCTGATCTGGAAAATGCACATATCCGCTACTGTCCTCGGAGGACCCTTGTGCCCTGGCAGAAGAGAAAGTCTGCCACGAATCATCCGACCTCAGTCTTCCAGGGGAGAATTTGCCACCGCTTGTTTCAGCGACAGCATTGTCGCCAGTTTCACTGTCCTGGACAAAGTCCACAAAGACTTGTCGGACAGACTGGAACGCAGCGCTTGAGGCTCGAGAGCTCTACTTCTTGCTCTTTGCGGCGCCTCGACTGCCTGTAAGTCTACTACCAAGGGTGCCGAGACTACTCTTATTTCGCTGATGGCCCGTTGGAGCTCCTGGGGCAGGGCGAGCGGCAGGCTGCTGGAGGTGGTCGGGCTTCGGCTGAGGTGCAGGAGGCTGAAGCGTCTTCACCGGTTCCTTGAGTGGAGCCGCTGCGTCTTCAAGGCCGTGCTGGTTGATGAGCTGTCGTCTCTGTGAACGTCTGACCTTCTCTTGTGTAGCCTTGAACTTCTCCAGAAGTTCAGTCCACTTGATACCACCACCATCTTCACGATTCTTGAGCCGATTGCGTTCCCCGAAGTTGCTGAGATTGCTTGCGGCTGGGACTGGAGGTCCTGAGCGATCGCGGATGTGGAGGTAGCCTATCGCCGACACACTGTTCAATCTGTTCTTGAGTGCCGCGAAAGCACTACTCTGTGGTAAAAGCATGAGTAGGCCATACAAGCATTTGTACAAGTTGGGATGTCGCTCGGGCTCAAGGAGTTGCATGCGCAGGTATGTAAACACGGGCGATTCAAGAAGCTGCACCAGCTTGTCGATCTGAATAAGCATGTTTACTGTCATCTCAATCTCGGAAAAGATGAGCAGTAGGTTGTACGCCTGTTCGTAGGCTTGCGCTAACAAACACAACGAGAATGTGGCGACTGCGTTGTGGCACCATGCCTTGAACAGGACTGTGAAGAAGCTCTGTCCATCCTTGCTATCGAGGTTTCTCAGTCGTCGGCGCAGCTCACCAAGCTCAGGCGCAGTAATGAGGTTATTGTTCAGATTCTGCACCATGATAGATGCAAACTCGACATCATCCTCATCGTTTTCCAGACAATCTGCCATGGTCCTGAAGATGCGTTCTGCCGACAGGGAGAGACACAACTGCCGTATAATGAGGTTGCCTCTGGACTCCAGTAGCCGGCGGTCAGTCTCGAAGAGCTTCAGGAGATTAACCATGAATGAAGTGAAGTAACTCTGGTCACTACTCTTGCTGATTTCGGATAGAAGCAAAAGATCGCGAGTGACGACAGCTTCTGCAGGATCACTAAGCGTCTTCAGGAGTGCAGGAAATGTCGCATCTTGGATGGCCAGGATCTTTCTCGGTGACTTGCGATGCAGCATGATCAACCACGCCAGTGCGGCCACTCTGGTGGCTTCATGCTCATGCAAAAATTGCAACGTCAGTGCACTCACGGCGGCTTCGTAGTCGAGGTCCGGGTGAGCATCCACAACTTCAGCATCTTCAACCGGCGGCTCGGGAGTGGCGACGTCGGGCGTCCTAGACTCCGGAACCTCTGGCGTTCTACGAGCCGCTCTACCACTCAGGGACTCTCTCTTTACATCGCCTGCATTATCCCTCAATGCTCGCATCCCGCTGGTGGCGTTGGCGACTGTTGCAGCTGGAGTCGAAGTTTGTAGCGGCTGCTCCACACTTCCGCCGTGTGCTCGTGTTGGATCATCAGGAAGAGACATGATGTATCTCATGAGCTCATTGTTAACCCTCTTCGCTTCGTCGCTGACGTGGTCATTGTCGTGCGACAGCGCAGGCAGTAATTGCTGCAGGAGAGCTGGTGTAAAAGGGAGGATGTCCTCAGGACAGATTTCGAGGAAGGTCCCGATCCAGTTCAGACATGTAAGCTGCACTGCCTCCTCTCTTGACCGGGCTAAGAAGTCGACCAGTATTGCCGTGATTCTTGGATAGTCAATCTGCACATCCTGTCCTGGGATCCACTCGTCCTCGGCACTTGGGCCCTCTGCATCCTCCCCGTCTGCGGCAGTGAAAGAGGAGGCGCCATCTCCGATTGCATCTTCTTCACCTACAGCGATGTCGGGCGTCTCTGTCGCGAGGGTTTCGCCATTCTCTCTACTCTCGCGACTCTGCGCAGGATCCGCTTCGGGTTCCTCCACGTCGCTTGTCGGATCTTCCACGGCATCGCTTGCAACGCTTGCCTTCCTGTCAAGCTCATGATCGTCTCGGCTTTTTCTGCTCTCGGCCACATTCTGCTTCACTTCGGCAATCTTCCCAATTTCCTTCAGAAATCTCTTCAGTACCTCCTTGGTCGTGTTATGAACGTCTGCAGCGCCGTCGCCGAGAAATGTCAACAGACCTTCGAGAAAACAGGGCAAGTAAGATACCAATTCCAGGTCGGGAATTGAGTCTAGCAGCAGAATCCATTGTACCAGGAATGTTCGTGCCCAAGGATTTTGTACATTGATGCGCTCTTGAAGTAGGGGAATGAACTTGGCCAGGTTGAAGGCTTGGGGGATGTCGACACTTTGATCTGGAGTGAGTTCGGCGGATTCCTTGCCTTCGGTGAGCAGTACCGATGTGTATGTTGCAGCCGACTCGGAGACGATATCCTTGATTAATCGATCGAGCAGCTCGGCGCCATTCTTGACAGACAGCTCGGTGTCGGCAGCGAGTTTGCTGAGGGCATCAAAGACGTCATTAAAGTAGATGAGGATTTCGCCCTTGGCGACTTTGGCAATGTTATACATGCTCTCGCAAGCATAATATCTGACTCTCGCATCTTGGTCGGAGAAGCATGCCAGCACTGGAGGTACTATCTCTTTCAGGTAGCGTGCAACTTCCTGTTCGACACATCATCAGTCATGTTGTCAAGGGAGAAGGAGGGGGAAGGGGCATGGAGCATGCGTGACTCACGGCTCCCAACGCTATGGCAGCGGCGGCCAAACCTATGAGGCCTCCATTGCGGGCATGTGGCTGATGAACGGCATAAGCATAGTCGTGACAGAGCTGCCACACAATCTTGCCGATTCTCTCGTGGTTCTGTTCGGCAAGGGCGGCGCGGATAACCGTTTCGAGCCTGCAAGCGTGCTGGGTCAATACATGTTTGTCTGTGCCACGAATGTCCACATCGTAGTCGTCATGGTATGGGCAGTCCGTCGACCTGGGCCGACTCGAGCTGCTCCGCACGGCTTTCAAGAAGGCTACGGCCATATTGAATGGGGAGCAAGCTTCCGGAAGGGCATTTCCGTGTGGATGTGGTGTTAAGTGGATGTAGTGTGTGTGTATGTGAAGAGGGCAAGGTGAGGGATGGTAAGGTCCACGAGGACTCACTCGAGCGCTCCTGCTTTCCTCTTGTCGTAGAACTTGTCCGACAGCAGTTTGAGCGAGTTGGAATCCATCTCCGCAGCTCTTCCCTATGCTGATCTGCCCTGCCCTGCCTTGCTCTGCTCTGTCCTGCCTTGCCTGGTGTAGAGATGGCTCGCCTCGTCTATCCTAGCCCAAGGTACCTTGGTAGCTCTCTGTTCCCGCGCGTGCCTGCGTGGCTGCCTGCTTGCCTCGCTGCAGCATGTAACATCTGTTGGGTCGTGTCGGGTTGCGCCGTGTAATCGTGTCGTGTCGTGTGATCGTGCTGTGCCCGGATCCGTGCTGCCCAGTGCACACTCGCCGACATGGACGTGTCCTGGTTGGTGTTCTCCGCGGAGACTCGTTCGGCGGCGGGCGGGGCGGAGGGGAATATGGTGGCCCAGAAGGGTATCGACAGGAAGGTAGGTAGGTAGGTACCTAGCTAAGAATGACACATGCAGTGTACGACTCTGCTCAGTCCAAGTTACTGCATTGCACCGCCAATACCGCGACCTTTGCTTCAGCCTCGCTTCCAGCTTCCAGCCCAGCTTCCATCCACTGGACCAGGGTCGTCTCCACCGCCACGCTTCGGAAGCCACTGCCGGATGCTAGACTAGCGTGATCTGCCCTACAGGAGGCTAGAGGACTTTCTCACAGAAGTCACAGAACAGCCATCCATCTTGACGACGACGGCTACCACCACCACAAAACCCACCGTACCGGCGCCAACATGTCTGAGCTGTAAGCATACCCAAGACTTGCTTTTGTTGCCTCCTGCTGATAGCGCCATGTAGTTCTCGCCTGTGGCGCGTTCTTCGGACCACGAAACAGATGTGCCAGGATCGAGTACGCATCTACACTTTTGCCATTGCACCACCAGCGACATCCACCTCAGTACTGACATGCGCAGGGATACGAACTCACCGACGAAGAATGCAACATATCCCTCGACGAATTTCGAGCTCAATATGCCGACGAGCAGGGCACACCTCAACGAACGAAAATGGCCTTCACCGCGCGTCCCTCCGAAGCCATGATCAAACGATACACTCCCATCACACGCCCTGGCCAGCCTGAGAAAGAGCCTGAGATTGGCACTATCCACGTCGAGTTCGCCAATGAGACTTCTGTGGGCATCAAACACCTCAAGCAGTTCGCCCAAGAACTGTCGGAAAAGAACTACTACACTGGCATCTATGTGTCGCAGGTCGCGCCCACGTCTGCTGCGCTCAAGATCATCCCCAGTGTACTACCGACGGTCATGGAAATCTTCAGGGAGGAAGATCTGCTCGTCAACATCTCCAAGCACGAGTTGGTGCCCAAGCACATTCCGCTGAGTCAGGAGGAGAAGCGTGGTCTGCTTGAGCGATACAGATTGAAGGAGACACAGCTGCCGAGAATCCGAGTGGACGATCCGATGGCGAGGTATCTGGGTTTGCGGAGAAGTCAGGTTGTGAAGATCATTAGGAAGTCGGAAACTGCTGGGCGGTATGCTTCTTACAGATGGGCCATCTGAGGTAGCACGTGATACGAAGATGTCTGAACACAAGACGAAAGTAGGGAGAGTGCAAAAGCGGATGATATGAGCATAGCGAGGCGTACGGTGTTTGGTGTAAGAGTACGTCTGAAGAATCAATTATACCACAAAGGTCCTGGGGTGGTGAGACTTGCAGTGCTGTACATGTGAGCTCGTATTGTGACCCAGGCAGCTATGCTATTACGTCTACTGCGATTCCGCCAACAGCTGTCACGAGCGTCAGTTGGGGAGATCGATGATTGTAACACCAAAAACACAGGATAGCCAGCCACTGGAAGGGCGGCAGCGGAGAGGAGGCCGATAATACACCCGAGTCGTGTGACTAGATGGCATAGCATGGGCGGCAGATGCGTACCAATATGTTGTTTTGTGCACACCATTACATGAGCATCCACATATTATTCTTCCTATACCTTACCTTTAGTTGCCTATGTGTCGAAGCGACATGCTCTAGCGTGCTCGTGACCATGCCGTGCTCGCAACGACTGGACCTATGTTTCGATACCTGCATGCCAAGCGCTCCTTGGACGCCACGATTCGATGTGGCCATGATGGCGTCCATCATGTTCTGGCCTTCTGCTGCCACTCTCCACGCTCATCCTCTTTCACAATACAGATACCTATCATCATGATGTACTCCAGGCCCCCCATCCATGTATCTGATGAACCATGATGACTATTCCCATGTCTTGGCAGCAGTGACACCGGGCAGAGATGGCTCGCGACGCCAACAGCAGAGAGACGCGACGCCTGTCACGCTTCGGCCGCAAAGTATGTAAGCTCCAGTCTCCATCATCCTTGTCCATATACATGTACCTCCTGGGTGGTAAGAGGTACCTTGGTGCCAGCTCCGCCACCAGCACCGCTTCCGCGTGAATGAACCACCACCAACCGACATCACAATGATTGAGACAACCTGAATATCATGAAGATGACGGGAGGGCGTAGAGTGCCAACTGACGACGACATACAGCTTCGCAGAGCCTCATTCATCCTCCCTAAGACTGGCGAACGCAGCAAACGCGTCTTCACCCTTCGAGATGCCTCTGCGCGCATGTCCCAGGACTATGGCGAGCACACTCGTCCCCTCTTGACTCAAAATGGAATCCGTCTTGCTGAGGATGACCGCGATTATCAAGAACCTACACTACTTCAACAGCTTCAGGATGTTGTCCAAGACCGTGCGCAACAGCTGTATGCTTTCGCCATCAGTCCGACTGGCAAAGGCATCTTCAAATGTTCCATCGGCTACCTGCTCGGTTCCATGGCCACTCTGATCCCGAGTATCGCGAAATTCTTCGGCGATAAACAGGACTCGAAGCATATGGTCGCCACCGTTACCGTCTACTTCCACGCTGCGCGAACAGTGGGAAGTATGCACGAAGCAACTCTTCTCGCACTTTTGGGATTCCTCTATGCCGCTTTTCTCAGCTTCGCCAGTATGGGCGTGAGCATCTTCTTCGCACATCAAAATATGATCATGGTCGGACACGCCATTGTCTTGATCATCTTCGTGGCTGGAGGATTTGGTCTGATGGCGTATGTGAAGCAGCAACTCGGGAACCCGCTTGTCAATGTTGCGATTTCTCTGGCTTCGCTGGGAAGCATCACTATTCTACTGAGAGAAGGTTCGATACAAGCTGGAGCTTTCTCTTATGAGAGAGTCAGCCAAGTATTGGGCATGGTGATTCTGGGCATCTTTATCGCAAGTGTTGTCAATGTTGTCTTGTTTCCGACGTTGGCGAGGAAGAAGTTATCGGAGCAGATGGAGAAGAATACAGACCTGCTGGGCGAGATGCTCATCTCTATTGCGCGAGCATTCTTGCATGGCAGGGAACAGGACCTGGAAGACGAGTACTTCAAGACTCTGGCCAAGGAGCATCTATCGAGCCTGAACACCATGAAAAAGAATCTGAATGAGGCAAAGAAGGAGCACTATGTTTTAGGAAACGAGAGACTCCATGCTGTCGAAGCGAAAGTTGTGCAGTGTCTTGCTGGACTCTCACAGGACCTAGGAGGACTGAGGAGTGCTGCACTTGCACAGTTTGCGTTTCTTAACGAGCAGCCGACAGTTGCGATGAATGGAAGATCACAGAGCCCTGTAGACAACGAGACTTGGATCATGAGTCCAATACAAAGCCCCGCTCTGGAGCCACAAACACAGAATTCGAGAAACCTGGACGTGATCAACGAGATACCAGAAAATGGCTCGCTTAGTAGCGAAGATAGCACGCCACGGCCGCAACGTAAGTCATCCACGACGAGCCTGTCCCATGGCACGAACGGCACGAACGGATACTTTGTCACTCCTAGTGGAACCGGAACGCCCTATTCGTCGTATACAGACTACTCTGAACGAGACTACGCGTTGCACACACCTTCTGGACATCTAGCCAAGAGTCCTGGAGACATGTTCGTGGCATTCATCAGTCAGTTAGGTCCACCTATCAAATCTTTGGTCTATACATTGAAGCAGACATTGGACGAACTGCCATTCTATGAAAGCAGAGAGCCGAGCTGGAATCCATGGGCTGTACGAGATCTCGAAGTAGCTGTCAGTGAGCAATTCCATGGCAGTCTGAGACATGCTGTAGAGCTGTATCGCGAAGAGCGAACAAGGGCGCTTTCGGCATTGTACCAGAATCGGGCTATCAGCGCCGCGATCAATGCCCAACACGGTGGCAAGAGTTCGTTCTCAACCAGGACGCACACTCCTGGAAACAACTCCCCTGTTGACAGGAGGCTACCGCGTAAGCACGACACGCTCTTCGACAGAAAACCAGAAGAGGTATTGGCTGATATCGAAGAGGTATCGGCGTGCTGTGGACACTTCTCCTTCGCATTACTAGACTTTGCAGAAGATGTGCTGCACTATCTCGATGTCCTCGATGATCTCAAAGCGGAAATGGAGTCGCAAAGAACAAGCTGGAACTGGCTCAAGTTTTGGCGCAAAGACCGGAAATCTTCTGGAGACTCCTTTACCCCTCGGACGAGCACATATCCAGAGCACAACGAAGAGCCCGATGGTGGGTATCATATTCCGGAGGATATACGCAAAGCTGATCGCTTCATCATCAGCGCAGAAAACTATACACGACATCAGCCTTGGTATTATAGTATTTATAGAGCTTTTCGCTGGCTGAGAAGAGACGATACACGCTTCGCTATCAAAGTCGGTCTCGGAGCAGCTCTCTACGCTCTCCCTGCCTTTCTCCCTGAATCCCGCCCTTTCTTCCTTCACTGGCGAGGAGAATGGGGACTGGTCTCCTACATGGTTGTCTGCTCCATGACAGTGGGCGCCACCAACACCACCGGCTTCAACCGAATCTGGGGCACAATCATCGGAGCAGGGTGCGCAATCATCGCATGGCTGATGTCCAATCACGGCGGAGTCGCAAACCCGTTCCTCCTCGCCTTCTTTGGCTGGCTCATGTCTCTATACGGCTTCTACGTCATTGTCGGGCAAGATAACGGCCCCATGGGAAGATTCATCATCCTCACATACAACCTTAGCGCGTTATACTCCTACAGTCTGTCCATCAATGACAACGACAACGACGACGATGAAGGCGGCATCGACCCCGCCATCTGGGAAATCGTCCTCCACCGCACGGTATCGGTGACTGTGGGCACGATCTGGGCAATCATCGTCTGTCGCTGGATCTCACCCATCTCCGCCCGTCACAAGCTCCGCGAAGGTCTCTGTGTCCTCTGGCTCCGCATGGGTCTCATTTGGAAGCGCGACCCCTTGGCAATGTCGCTCCTCGGCGAACCCGCATCAGCATACATGGATATACGAGAAGAAGCCGAACTCGTCTCCTTCCTCGCAAATCTGCGAAGCTTGCGCAAAGCCGCGTCTTCGGAATTCGAATTCCAGGGGCCGTTTCCAGATAAACCGATTGGGAATATGCTCGACCGTGCGGGACGAATGCTCGATGCCTTTCACGCCATGAACGTCGTCATTTCCAAGAACCTCCAGGCCACGCCCGGCGAAGCCGCGGTCCTCCTATACACTCGTCCCGAACGATTCGCCCTGTCCGCACGCATCTCCCATCTCTTTACCGTGCTGGCGAGTAGTATCAAACTCGAATACCCGCTTAATGATGTGTTACCGAGCATCGACGACACGAGAGATCGATTATTGGCGAAAATTTCCGAGTTCCGAAGGACAGAGCAGGGACGCACCTTGACGCAGGAGCAGGATTACGAAATGTTGTATGCCTATGTGCTGGTGACGGGACAGCTGGCCAAGGATATCGAAGTGGTGGGCGAGGAAGTCGAGAGGTTATATGGGACGTTGAATGAGGAGAATTTGAAGTTGCAGTAATTCGACAAAAGGATACGAAAATAACAGGATCAAGAAACAACATTGCAAGAAAAAGAATATGTTGTGGATATTGAGAGGTTGATAGTCAGTGATACGAGGAACAAAATAATAGAATGCTGTTTTCTGCCAATAAGTCAGTCAGTCAGTCAGTCGACCAATTGTTGAAACGGCTACTACCCTTCCCCCTTTCTCATCCCCGTTCTGAACACTCGATGGAAACATACCGCTATCATAACTTCCCTCTGCCTATCTTACCTATAGAAGGATATTTCAAACTGTATAGAAGCTCTAGCCTCTTTCTCTTCCTCTTCCTCTTTCTCCTCTGTCATTATATAGCTCGAGGATTCTTAATATTGCGAATATTAGTTGCCTACCTACAAGTAGGTAGACAAGGGCAAGGGAAAGTGAAATTGGCTAGTAAGTAGCCTTGTACATTCGCTCGCCTATAGTCTTCTTTGTAGTTTGTACTGTAAGCATACTAGCTAGCGTATACATGTATACCTAGGTATATAAATACTTTCGGAAAAGAGGATCGAGAGCTAGAGTAGTAGAGTAGTAGAGTAGTAGAGTAGGTAGTGTTAATACCTCTAGAACCGACTCTACTTCAAAATGGATTGGCGATTGTTGAGGCTAATATAATGATTGCATGAGTTGTAGCTGTGCGTGAGAGGAAGGGAAAGAGGAAGAAAACAAAACAGACCTACTAAACCCGAGCAAACATACGAGATTGCCACAAAATGTCCCCCGCCCCCCTAGATAAACAAACAACCTGCAAACAACAACAACAATCGTGACGATCGAAGGTCTCAGGGGGTAGCTATCTACTGCATCTGTGTATTCATCATACAGTACAGTAGATAGCTACCCAAAAACGACCATCCCTCCCGTTGCAGGGCTCTCATCATCGCATTCTCAGTTCCAAGCAGACAAGCAAGCAAGTAAGCAGGCAAGTAAGCAAGCAAGTAAGCGAGGGAACGAGGGGAGATGCAAGGAAGATGCAGATACTACATGTACTGTAGATACCAGATACCAGATACCAGATACCAGAATGCTACATACAGAGGCAACGGTGTAAGTTGTGTAACTGTATACATTCTCACTTGACGATTTTCATGTCCAGACACGAAATGATTGTTTTTATTGTGATCGACTCTACTTTTCGAATAAAGCTTCTCCCCTACCTTACCATTCCATTCATCTATTCAACTGTTCAATCTATCCAAGAAATCAAAATACCAAAAACAAAATCTCCAGTAAAATGAGTTTTCCAGATACAAAGCTACCCACCTACCTTACCACCGTGCACCGTCCCTGTACACAAGCAAGAGATGATGAAATCATAGACTCATGAAATCATCAACTCACCAAAGCGGGCAGTAATGAGATGTCTGGATTTCCTATCGTAGACAAAACAAAAGATCTTCTGGGCCTTGCTTGTCAAAAAAGGTTGTATTTTGAACAAGCTGGGGGGGAGCCTGGAAGAAATGGATGAAATGGATGAAATGTATGAAATGGAATCATCAATGGATGGATGAGCATGGATGAGCATGGATGAGCATGGATATGGAGGGTTGGTTGACTGGGGGGGGGGGTGTTCTCGCCGAGAAGTTTAAATTGGTTGTTTGTGGGTTTGGACTGGAGGAATTGGGGTGGATATAGAGGAAGAGGAGGAGGTGGAAGGTAATAGAAGAAGGTGATTAGATAATACACCCGTAGGTATTTGTTTTGGGGCGTTGAATTGATTGTCTTTGTTATAACAAGTGAAGAAAAAAGTTGATACAAAAAAGCGAGGAGAGAGTCTTGTCGAATGCAAGCGGCAGCAGTGCCCGAGAGAAACATGGAATATCACTGTTTGTAAGGGTGCTCCCTCATCACGGCTCTAAAAGCATATCCCCATTTACCTTTTCTTGGGCCTCCAGGTACCAGGGGCTATCAGAACTAGGTAACTAATATTCTAATCGTCCATCCTCGTCGGTCGTTCGGTCGTCGTCGACGTCAATCACAAAAGACACAGTCAGTCAGTCAGTCCAATCATTGATCACGAATAAGTCATCATAAAAAAAAACATCAATCATGCCAGTCCAAAAAACTCGAACTTTCTCCCAAAAAACCTTCCGAACCGAAGCCGTCGTATTTCTTCCTCTTCTTCTCCCCTTCATTCCCTCCTTAGCTCCAACCAAAAAACCCGAGACCGGCAGATGCACGTTCCTATCTGTCTTTCGTCTGTTGCCTGTCTGTTCTCTACGTAACAATCAGCATCAGTCTGACTTTGCCCGGAAAGCTGATTTTCCGAGTGAGGCGCAATTCCCTAGAACCATGGCGATGCTTACGAAACGAATGAATTTGATTTGTGGAAATCCCCCTCCCCTGACAGCTGCCAGGTATGTTTAAATGCATGCTTAATGGCTTTGGACCTGGATGTGAAGATACGAAGTTGTACGGTAGCAACGTGCAGAGCCAGGGTGGGGCGGGAAACGAAAATGGGGGATGGCGATTGGATGCTGAGGAGGAGAAGGAGGAGAATGGACGAACAGGTATGGTATGTACTGTATGTACAGGTGACAATGTACATCAGTTGACTGGACTGGGCAAGTGGGCAAAACCCTCATTTTAATGATTCATGACTTGTGATGGGGACAGGCCATGGCTGGTTCATGGAAGAGGAGGGCCCTTGCATTGTTATTCCCAACACCACGCACGCACTGGCTGGGTGAATTGAGGAGTCGCTTGCTTGCTTGCTTGCTCGCTCGCTCGCTGCATATGGAATCATTTGAGTTGGTGCTGACTGCTGGGTGGATCATGATTGGTCTGCGACCACATCATCGATGGATGGAGGGCTCAGATTGCAGTTACCACGCACTCTCCATAAGTAGTGTCTAGATGGCCGTGGCCACGTTGGGATCGATTCCTCTTTTTTTTGTCCTCCCTCTCCGCAACGCTCTTCCACTTTTTTCGCACATTTGTCTCCTATCCCAAACGAGTCAAAAACGCGTTAACAACAGATCAATCATGAAGACGTTCATCTTGGGCTTGAGCTCGCTGCTCAGTGTGGCCGCAGTGCCACATATGATGACGGACCCAGAGCCACCGTCGCTCTGTGACAAGTGTAAGCAAAGAATCGATATATCAATAAGACCCAACGGTCGATCAACAAAACAACAACACATGCTAATCCAGTATGATCCGTCCAGACACCGTGGCACTTCTCAAGGACAACACTGCCGACAACCAAAAGGCCCTCCTGACATTGGTGGTCAACACCGCCGTCATTGGCAACTACACCTCCAACCCCGGATCTCTCATTGCCGTCCCCGGTATTCTCGCTCCGGGTGAGGGAGACTTCGAAGGCGTCAACTTGCTCCCCTACTTCTCCGGTGGCCTCGCATCCACCAACGCCGGTGGCTTCTATGGTGTATCCGTCAACTTCCTCGACGGTGGAGGTGCCGACCCCATCAAGATGGGCTACCCAGCCAACGACGTCAACAGCGCTCAATAGTAAGTTCTTCCTCCCTTTCATCGATTCGACCTGGATCGATCCCAACAACAACAACTAACAACCTCCCCCTCCCTCGTGATCAGCATCCTCCTAACCCACCTCTACCCCTACTTCGCCGGACTTCTCGGATGCTCCCTCTTCGGCGCCACCGTCGAGCCCTACCCCGGCCGAACCTCCATGTACGAAGTGCACAAGTTCATGGCTCTGGACGAGCACGAAGTCGGTTGGTTCGTCACCAACGTCGGAAAATCCGCTGCCTCTTTCGGTGTCACCGATGACGATGTCGCCACTGTCGGAAAAGCTTTGCTGGACACTTTTGGAATGAACTGTGCTGCACCCGTCGCTATTCCTGCGACTGCTGAACCCGCTCTGCAGGCGATTTGCATCGAGGTATGATTTTTTTTTCTTTTTTGGCATCCCTTCCCCTTCCTTTCTCCCCCTCTTCCCATCGATGTGTGAAACGAACCATCTCGCTAACTCCTTTTCTTTCACCAGCCAACTTGCCCATTGGCCGATCCTCCTTCATGCGAGCTCTACCCACCATTCTTCTTCGAGCCTTACCCAGTGGGTGGAGGAATGAAGTAAAGAGAAAAAAAAACAAATCTTAGTAATGAATGACCTGTGAAATGCTTTTAATAATACTCAAACCAAACACTTGGGAGGACGAGCTTGCGAGGACGACCTTAGGAGGAGGAGCTTAGGAGGAGGAGGAGGGGTATGGGGGGAACGTGGAGATAAAAATATAATGTGAACGTCTTTTGATGATGAACAACAACATTTAATCCAATCGAAAAGAAACCCTCGTGATGTCGCCGCCGTCGTTGGGGGTTTTTTCTTCTTTTCTCCAGTACTTATTACTGTTAGAGATCAGCTTGACGTGTGTGTGTGTGTGTGTGTGTGTGTGTATGTATGTCGTGCGCCCCTTTGTGCTGTTCGTCTTCATGGCCTTCGATACATGAGAGTTTGTTCCGTTGATGCTGAAGTGAGGTAGGTACCTCTGTATTCGGCCGGATGTCGAAAGAGAGTTGGAAGTACACGTGTACACGAAGTATTGGTCTCATGAGGTACGTCCTTGTGGGGTGTCTTATCCTCTATCCAACTGTCCAGTGATATCTCCACAACTACTACACTGCGTAGCCTTCAATACAATTCCTGCGAAGATGGAATTCAATGTTCAAACACATAAGCGAGAGAACAGAAGTAGAGGACTGATATGAGTCGATTGACTGAGCTTTCGTTACATACTTCCAATAACGATTGCTGATATAGTCGCGAGAGTCTAGTCGTATAGAGCAGCAAGTGATAGTTCCATGCCCTCATCTAATCCTTCTACTTTGTAATGTGCTCGCATAGTCTCAGCGCATCGGCCTTTACCAAACGGCTTAGTGAAACAGCGTAGCACGCCCACTTTCGTCCACAGTAATGAGCTGTCCGTTTCTGCCCGTATACCAAGTTCGGACCCCCTGGTAGGTGCCCGTCTGTTTGGCCACCTAGGCCTCTTCACCTTGTCTTCGAAAGAAGTAGATGTAGGCAAATTTGGTCATTTCCTGCACATCGCCGCCAAGCGCGACTTTCTCGTCGTTGAAGAGAACCCAACCAGCCATCTTCTTGACGAAGGCGACGTAATGACCCGCGTGTATAGAGCTGCCCTTGTGACACACGATGCTTTGCAGAGAGAATTTTGCGGGTTTATCGTCTTTGGGAATCTCGACCGCAGGTGCAGCAGCTGCAGGGGCATCGTCAAAGTCACCTGTGGCTTCAGGATGACTGAACAACCAGTCCACCGCACGTTCCATGTCACCACTGGTCTCCTTGAGCGCTTGACGAGCTTGCGGTTCAGCAAAGCCCATGCCACAAAGATTACTGATTTTCTCTGGGTCAGCGACCGGGGCAGCTGCCGCATTAATGGGATCGTCGATGCCAGGATCTTCCATGTGCTCAAACAACCAAGCAGTAGCGACTTCAGCGTCTGAATTACCAGTAGCTTGCAAGGCCTTCTCACATCGCACTCGAGGGAATCCCATGCTCATCAGCATATCGAGGGCAGACTGATTCGGCTGGAATGTGGAACTGGAGCTTGAATCATCTTGGTCAACCAATTCTTCCTCGTGCGCCCGGTCGTGGTTACTGCGGTACATCTCCATATCGAAGACATCATCGCCGACAATGACTGGCACGTCCTGTTTGGTCGGGACCCAATTGACAATCTCGAACCGTCGAGCATTGACCGCCAGAATCACGGGAAATGTCTTGAACAGACTCTGCTTGGTGAATGTCTTGTTCTTGCAGCTGGAGCATACGAGATCTACTACCTCCGGTGCGGTGAAGTCGTCGAGGCATTGCTTGAGCGTGACAGGCTCAAATTCGGTCTTACCGATGTCCTTGCCAGTGCCTGGATCGCTGTCAATCATGGGTGAATCGCCACCGTAAACAGTGCGAGGTGCCTTGGCTATCCGGTTGATGGGTACAGCAACACTGATGTTCTCCATCTCATCTGTTCTGTACTTGACCTTTTTGCAGCCCGTGCATTGCAACCTCTGCTCCATATAGAACCGGAACGCGTCGACTGGATCATAAACCTGCGGATATTGCAGCTCTTCTGCTTTAGACTGCGAGCGGGACACCAATTTTAATATGTGAAGTAGAAACTCGAATGAATCTTGCTGTCGCATACTGCTGAACTCGGCATGACCCTTGCCCACAATCTGTTTCAGCATGCTTGGAGCGATGCCCTTTTGGTGAGGCTGCTCGTCTGGGTGTTCTGGTTGCTGGACGTCTGCATCTGGTCTGCTGTAACGTCCCGACAAGAGACCGTCGGCAAGCTTGCGTAGCTGTACTTCGAGGTCCTCCCCGGGCTTCGCGATCTCCATTGGGCCCGTACTCATAACATCCTCGGGCCTGTAGTAGCGCTTGGCAAACTCGGGCATGGCAAACAGCGCTTGCAGCACGGAAGCAAGATAGCAGCTGTTGCCCATGTTCTTCAAGCCGGTCAGGCCAGGTCCAAACAACGGCTTCAACTGCCGTCCTTCCGCATCGGTCATGGAGAAGTCGTAGTTGAGGTTGTACGTGAGATTCATCTCGCCCAGACTCTTCTCCGTCTTCTCGCGATCAGCAATATTGACTCCCCAATGTGCCAAGTGTTCAACCAGCTTCGGGTCTTTCCGCTCCTCATCGCAGGAGTAGCAATAGATGTCAGCGCTGCCATCAGCAGAGATGGAGCCCAGCTTGACTGCCACATGGTGCTTGGTCGACTGTGCATGTCCGACCTGGTGGCTGTTGCCGGGTGCGCCTCCAAACTGTTGTCTCCCGCAGCCCAGGTTGCCACAAGTCAGGCACATCCACAAGTTCTCCTTCAAGTCGCATTCGCCACAGTGGCCCAGATCGCCGCTGGGAATCTGACGCCCCGGCTCTTGTTCGAGAAAGGCAGTGTGGTCGCAAATGGTCAGTTCAAGTTCCCAAGCCTTGACCTCCTCCTGCTGTGCAAACGTGTTGGCGCTCATCACGCCGGCCACGACAGTGGCGACATCCCCTTCCGGTGCCATGCCATCCAGACCACACTTGAAGCACTTGAGATTCGTCTTGGTGTCGTATCTCTGCTCGTTTGTCTCAGCCACCACTTCGACTTTAGTGATTTTGGCGGGCGAAGGGCCGTCTTCTCGCTCCGACTGTGCTTTCCGCTTGCGAGTTCTCTGAATGTTGACGGCGAGAGGATGATCGGCATCCTGAGCGTGCTGCGGACCGTGAGCTCTGTCGCCGGCGCAGCCTCCGTTGAAGCAGTGTAAGCAGACGTCGATTCCCGCAGCATCGTCAACGCTGTCGAAGCAGAGCGTGCAGTCGTCTTTGTACACGGCGTCGGTGGGTCGAGGAGGTGGTCGGTGGAGGGTTTTGACGTGCGGACATGTAGTGGTAGCCATGTTGGAAAATGTGTCGATGTTTGGGGAAAGCTTCTGTTTGGGCACGCGATGTCTGTTGATGATGGTGGGGCGAGGTGGAAGTGGAAAGTGGAGTGGCGTTACGTCAATGAATCAACGGTGAATGAATTATTGACGCCGAATTGACGCACGGAGACGGAAGGCCAAAGTGGCCAATTCTCATGAACGTACCTTACCTTATGAATCTACTGCATACAGCACCTTTCTTTGATTCTACACCTCACCGTCGCCGCATGCGGCACCTTACCTTACCGTCGCCGTCGTCGCCGTATGCGGCGTATAGCTTTGTTACTACTACCGCTTTGTCGCTATAAGTTACTTATCAAGTCGTCGCCGCCGTCGCTATTAAAGTACGAACTATATATATATTTCTTTACTACTACTACTACTACTACTACTACTACTACTACTACTACAACTATACCCTACCGAGCTAAGTAAGAGTGCGCTCGCTATAGTACTCGTAGCGTACGCTAACCAAGCCTATAGTATTATCGCGAACGTAACGCTCGCGCTCGAGATACTATAAGAAGGCGACGATACTATAACTACGTTCGAAGCGCTATAAGCCTTCGAAGCGCGCTATAATAAGGACGACGACTTAGACCCGGTAGATTAGATAGACGATTAGATAGACAGTTAGACGGACGGTTAGATAGACGGTTAGATAGAGCCTCTAACGCCGGATCTAACGGTAGATCCGACGCCGGATAAGAGTAATAAGATAGATAATACAATAGATAATAATACCGAGTATGTCCTCGGCGGCGCTATCCTTAGCGGCGCTATCCTCGGCGGCGCTGTCCTCGGCGGCGCTGTCCTTAGTAGCGCTGTCCTCGGCGCTCTTTGTAACTTACTACTAATACTCTCTCTCTATAGTAGTACCCTGCCCGTTGATCCCTACCCTCGCCGCCCTACGACTACTAACGCCGCCGATTTCTAGTTTTGCGCTACCGAGAAGTAGTAGAGCTAGCTTAACGAGGCGAACGGCGAGGATACTAAGAAGAAGAAGGTTACAAAGAATAACCTACAGAAATTCGACTAGGCTAGCCGAATTATAGAGACTTACGAGAGGATTAACGTACTAGATCCGTACTATTACTATACTCGTCCGGGCCTATCCGTTCCGTATAAGGTAGACCGGGTAAATAGCAAGATATATGCTTATTATAAGCGATACGCAAAGGTAGGATATAATGCCGGTTAGCCTATAGAAGATATAGATAGCAGTAAGCTAGTACGTCTTACTCGGCGAGTCGCCGCTATCGAGGCACGAGTAGATAGCTTAGATAGGTACGCGCGTAGTTGGATTAGCTTCTTTAAGGGTAGATTCAATTAGGTTAGCGGTAAGAGCAGGTCCGTAGTATTAGTACTCGCTTAGTATACGGCTACTCTACGCTATAGGGGCGTCGCTCTATTGATTCTACGCTCGGACTACGGAGGCGAGACTCTCTTAGCCGCGGACGCGTATTATATAGTTCGTCGTACTACGTACGACGTAGAGAATAAGTTACTATAGAGCCGCGGTCTGCTAACGTTACTAGAGCTTACTTTTAGCAAGTACTACCGATATAGTACAAGTAAGATAAACTAGCGTATCGAGGCATAGTAGAATTAGCAGGCCAAAGCACTTAATAGATAGAGAGAATACTTCTACTCTCTTAATACGAGAGATTTATATAACCCTAACTTACTCCTAGATCGCCTAGCCTTCCTAGCGGTATATATAGAAATCATACGTACCGCGGTAATAGAGTTCGCCTATATATAGAATATATATAAGATCCGGAAGCAATCGAACCGTCTATACTTAATTCCGGGTATTCCGTATATACTATATTACTACCTAGAGCTATATAGTACGGCGTCGTAGGGGGTACGTATACCGGAGGCTATTATCGAGATACTCGAACAGAGTCTAGAAGGGTTTAGTAAGTGCCTTACCCCCGCTCGCTATACTACTTATTAATTCTAGGTAGATTTAGAGGCTTTTCTGCCTAACGAGACATATAAGTAGTATAAGGTCAATCTACTTACGAGCTATAGTCTCTCTCTACCTATTAGTAGAGCGTCCTTTAACTAATTGACTAGCGATCGTACGTACGAGTTAGTATATATTATACTGCGAATGTTGATTAGTAAGCATATTACCTCTAGGGAACTACCTATTCTTAGTAAGCTTAAGAAGCTACTAGCCGTACGGAATTAGATCCTCCGACGTAAGAGATAGGAGGTATTCGTCTATTACGCGCAATATAGTGTACCGAATGTAAACTAGGACTATAGTACGGTCGATTTCGAGTTTATATAATATAACAAAGAGGGCGGAGGGGCCGTAGAGCGCGGGGCGCGGGGTAGGGCGCCGGGGTAAGGGGCGGAGGCAAGGGTAAGTAAAAAATTCTATTAGCTTTTCTTCGGCGAGCCTAGCTATAAGCGGCGATAAGGTAAAACTATTCGTATACTCGCTATATTACTTATACTTCCTCCCTCTCTTACTATATGCTTTATAACCCCTATCGCAGCTATATCTATATTATAGTCGTAGCTACCTAAGTTATAGGCCGAGTACTGTCTAGTTTAGATATAGATCTACTATAAGACAACGTTCGGCAAGTTTACTTATTATAGCTAATATAAATAGCTAAATCCGGACGGTCTAACGGAGCGATTTATATAAGAGCTATTAACCGTACTCGAGATACGCCCTCGTCCTATACTAACCGCGTCGAATATACCGGCTCCGTTAGCCTAGCCTATACCGATAGTATTAGTACCGGCTCTACTAGTAAGGGTAAGCAGCTTTTCTAACGGCGAGATTTGATAAGTCGCCTAATAAGCTAGGGTTTCTAGACATTCGATATAATCCCCTAGTACGCGAATAACGAGCGTACTAGTACTAATACGTATTACCGATAGAGAGCCGCTACCGTAGTCGCTCTCTATACCGGTACTAGACTAGTTACCTACCGTTAATAGTCCGCGCCGGCGTCGACCCCGACGCCGACAACGACGACGACGTTAGCCGTAGCCTAGAGGTCGCTAACCGTCTACTTTGCATATACCTATAGGGTCTATACCTAGCGCTAGGTACTCAAACTAGAGAAGAAGACAAAAGTAGCAAAGTAGGACCTCTAGTAAGCAGAGCTCGTACTAATAGTACCTAATAACTTTACTAACTCTAACCGCCTCGCCGAGGACGATAATACTAGCCTCGTAGACTTCCTACTTAAGCGTATCGACCCCGACGACCTTCCGGTATAGCTAATCTATAAAATCCCCGACTTTGAGAGTATAATACTAGTAACTAGCTTCGATAAGGACGGCAAACCCCTTAAGGTATTATAGAAAGCAACGAGAACACCTATCGTCGCGGACGCTATAGCTGTATTCTAGATACTAGGGCCCCGAACGACCGCTCGCTTATATAAGGTTACGATCGTTATCTAGTTAAGAAAGCATCTACCGTCGCTAAAGCCGAAGAATCTGAAGCGTAAGGATAGGGAGAGTACTATAATCGACGAGCCCCCCCTCGAGTTATACTTACTACCTATAATACGCGAGCCTACCGTACTAATCGAGAGTATTAAGCACGACTTAGACGAGCTTTTTATTAAGAAAGAGAAGAGATTAGGGTAGATATACTCGGTAATTAATACGAGGCAGCTACTAGAGGTATAGGACCTCTCGGGCGACGGCGATAATACCGTCGCGACGATACGACGAGAAGAGGGTAGGTCCGGCGTAACGCTAGCAGTAGATAGCGACGGAGAGAAGATTAGTACTATAACAAGAAGGGCGGTAGCAGTAGCAAAGGCTCGGGGTTAACTTACTAGCGCTTGCAGCCGTACTTATAGGTAGGTAGGCGCTGAAGGTACTTAACTATATATAGACGGTATAGCTTTAACAGCGACGTACCCGGGGGGGGGGGGGGAGGGGAGGGGAGGCAATATTAGACAGTTTAATTACTACTCAATTTAATTATTCTATTTAATATATAGCTTACTAGACTATCGTATTACTACTAGTACTATTACCGCTAGTACTATTACTACTAGTACTATTACTACTAGTACTATTACTACTAGTACTATTACTACTAGTAGACGCCTAATCTAATATAGTCGGTAGTATAATACCTCTCTCGGGCTACAAGCGAGTAGCAAGGGCATATACTGTAATTCTAACGTAGAGCTACTATATATAGCGAGAGTAAATGTCGATAGTACCGTAGATCTAAATACCCTAGTACTCGAACTTGTAGTAAGCATCTATTAAGAGCGCGTATATTAGCCCGGATGTAATAATAGTACTATAGTGCTCTCTAGCTCTATCGTAGTATCGCTGTACCCTATCGGGGTTAAGTAGTCGGTATATACGGTAGATACGGTCCCTACGTAAATAAGTTAGTCTACGAGCGGCTATAAGTATAATAATATAGTATACCTCCTAATTAGGTTAGTTTTCGAGCGTAGGTATACGTAGAGGTTCCTCCGGCCGTACGTTTTAACCGACGACTTAGCTAGCTCGTTAGAGAGTATAGCAGCGATCTCTACCTCCGCCTCTGCCTATCGTTCTTAGGGTACCTGTTTGATAAACCCTAGCTCTTTGCGTATACGCCGATAGGTACGCTTTCCGATATTCTAGCCGTTAATACGTAGAATCTAGTAGGCCTCCTCGTCGGTAAGACGTAGGTAATAGTAGGTATAAGCGATTCGGAGGTATAGGGCCTTAGTATTACTTAATTCGAGCCGGGTTCGTACTAGCGTATACGTTCTTGTAAGCCCCTATAAAGTTAGCCGCCGTCGTAGCGTACTAAGCTCGATACGGACGCCGAATATAGTAAAGAGGTCCTCGCGGATAGACTAGTAGGTATGCCTATTAGCGTATAACCTAGTAATGAACTCGCAGAACTGCTCGTAATCTAGTACTTAACTACTACGAGCTCTAACGGTTCTACTACAACGGCGAGGTATAAGCGCGAGCGATAGTAAGGTAGGTAACGGAGGTAGCGGAGGGGTAGTAGACTGTCGAGGTATATGTATATAGACTGCGACGTATTCCGCGGCGGCGGCGGCGGTAACGGTAACGGTAACGGTAACGGTAACGGTAACGTAGACTATATACGACGGTGAGGTAGGCAACGAGGTATATATAGCGACGGCGGCGACGGTGAGGTAAGGTGCCGCATACGGCGACGGTGAGGTATAGAATCAAAGAAAGGTGCTGTATACAGTAGATTCATGAGGTGAGGTACGTTCATGAGAATTGGCCACTTTGGCCTTCCGTCCACGGACTTGCATCGCGTCAATTTCGCGTTCCTTCACTTCACTTTATCCCTCTTTCCTTTTCTCTCTCCCCTCCCCAACCCAGCTACATATAGTTACCTACCCTACTAACCCCCCAACCAACCCCCTCCTCTCCTCCTCCTCCTCCTCCTCCCCCTCTAAACGCCCCCTCCCTCCCCTGCTCATCCTCCTCTTCATTTCCAACCTCACTTTCGCCCTCCTCACCAAAGCACACCACACCCTCCCCCTCCCCCTCTTACTCTTTCGTCCCAAAAAACCCCCAGCAACAATGCTACTCCTCTTCTCGATCAGGTCTGTAGGCGAAGGCGGCGGGGTCAGATGGTAGAATTCATCGCCTCCGCAACCGCATTTGCAGTCGATTAGATCGGGGCGTTCTATTGGGGTGGGTAAGTCTGGTTTTGTGGGGTCTGGAGGAGGAAATATTGTGGTGAGGGAGTGTGGTGGTGGTGGGAAGTGACGGGTGTTGTTGTTGTTGTTTAGTTGTTGTTCATGAGGTGGTGGTGAATGGAGGAAGGTTTGTTGGAGGTGCATGGTGATGTTGATGTTGATGTGTTTAGTGATGATGTTGGGGGATGAAAATGGAAGAGAGTGAAAAAACAAAGATTTCATGGAGGTCTATACTATATCTACATCACATTGTTTCTATCCATCGTAAAAGTAACAGTTTAGCTAAACATCTGTCTAGAACCATCTCACATGAACGTCTCACATCAATGTCTCAAGAACCGTTGTTCACATTGTCCTGTCTCTGAACAACAGTTGCACCAAGCATCGCAGAGTCACTCGTCCCATTCCCCAACGCACTCATCATATAGCAGTCAGTCTCACGATACGAGACCCCTCGACACGACATTTCCATCGCACACCCATTCAAGCACTGCTCAAAAGTGTCCGCCGCAACACGACTCGCCATCCCTCCAGTGCGAAAATCCATGGAGCACCGCACTTGAAACCGAGCAGTACCATTATACGAATTCCACAAAGTCCCATTATCCGCCGGGCAAGCGAGTGGCAAGCGATACATCTGTAAAGCGTCAGCACCACCGCACCACGTCGTAGAATTTCCCGGACAGCTCATATCGCAAGCCGATTGACGGATTGGATGTGAAGCATTGTCGAATGTGTTTCCGTAAAAGCATTCTCCGCCGAATTCAACTCCGAACCAGGTGACATTGCGTTTCTGGGCTTGAGCTGCACACGCGGGAATGGTTAGGGAGTTTGTAGGGTCGTAGTATACATTCGATAGAGCGCGACCGTTGTTGGGCTTTTCGTTGAAGCAGCCCTGTGCTATGTAGTTGCTTGAGCTGGGAACTACAATTGTAGGGGATGGTGGTGCGGAGCTGTTGCTGGGAACAGCGTACAAAGTCAGACCATTGGGACCGCCGCAGATTTCGGTTTTATCGCCTGCACATGGCATGTTGCAGCGGCCATCTGTTGCGGGTTTGGAGCTGGTGGAAAGGCTTGATCCGCAGTAACATTCGGTGGCGTATTCGGTGGCGAAATATTGGTATCCCGAGCAGAAGCTTGCGCAATTCTCGTTCGTCATGTTGTTATTGTTGGCACTCTTCTGGTTGATTGCACGGCCATTTACTTCGGTGTAGCAGCCCACGTATTTGAATGTTCCAACCTGAGTAGGCGCACTTGGCGCTATAGAGGTGATGGAGGACGACGAAGACGTCGTGGTGCTTGTAGAAAGTGTTGTCCGTGTCGCTGAAGACGAAGTACTGATCGTTGGGGTCGCAGAGGAGGTCGAAGGGGATGAGCTGGCCGTAGCTCCAGTGCTGGAGCTCAGGGTCGACGAAATGGAGTTGCTGGTACTTGTCGAAGGGACAGAGCTGCTGGTAGTCGTCGCAGAGATAGTGCTGCCGTTACTAGTCGAAGAGACAGTAGTACTGCCAATACTCATCGAAGAACTAGAGTCACTCCCTTTCGCCGTAGACGCGGCAACTGAGCTGTTGCTGCTGCTACTGCTAGACTGCAAAGTAGTCGACAAAGAGACCACCGAACTTGTCATGGATGGATCAGACACCACTCTCGCCCCAAAGACGCCATTATAGACAGCAGCACCAACCATATTCTTCAAATAACAAGCAGCACCAGACAACGCCACATTGATACAGCCATTGGTTTTAGCACATACGTCGATGCATTGTTGGAAGCTGTTGACGGCTAGGCTGGACATATCGCCGCCTTGATGGTCGATACCACACTCAATCAAGAATGTGACGCCGTTGGAAATGTAGGTCGTGCTGTTACTTCCGGGGCAAGTTGGAGGTGTGGCTGTTGCTGAAGTCGATGAGGTTGTTGAAGTGCCGATGACTGTTGACGTGGAAGTTGTGCGGTCTGGGAAGGTCGATGGAGATGATGTGCTGCTTTCCGAGTTGGATGTCAAACTGGCGGAGCTTGTCGACGTAACAGAGGAAGACACACTCAAGCTTGAACTCGTCGCAGAAATCGAAGATACACTACCAGAGGTGGAAGTGGACACAAGTTCAACGAATTTCGCGCCCCAAACACCATTGTTCACAGCTGCTCCCAGAGTAGACTTGAGATAGCACGCCGCTCCCGATAAAGCGACATCGACACACTGTGAATTCTGGGCGCAAGCATCAATACATGCTGCGAATGAGTTGACATTAAGTGATGTCAAGTCCCCACCAACGTGGTCGATTCCGCATTCGATGAGGAATTTCTTGCCCCCAGAAGTGACCGTAGTTCCATTTGATGCTGGACAAGAAACGTCCGTTGGAGCAGTAGATTCGACGGCAATGGTACTGCTGCTAATAGTGGTAATCGTATTGGAGGCCGTAGTAACACTGGTAATCCCCGTGCTCGATGTCGAGGATTGAATACTAGAAGATGATGTCGAAGAGGATATGGTGCCATTCAATCGATAGAGTTGCATCCGGCTACCCGCTCCGCAGTACTGACTATTATTCCCACTGCAAGACATGTTGCAATCGGTGTCGTTGGTCAGTGACGACGACGAGGCAATGGTACTGCCACAATAACATTCGGAGCTGTATTGGAGGCCAAAAAGCGAGTAGCCAGCACAGAAGCTCATACAAGAGTCAACAGTCAGAGACTTCGAGTCCATCGTCTTCGAACTGAATGTCTTGCCTCCAGTCTCCTTGTAGCAGCCCGCGTAGCTGTAGCTGCCAGACTGTTGCGTGATGGCAAGAATGGGAGATGTAGTGTTCCCGTTGAATTTCAGCCTGTCTCCAAAGACCGACAACTGGGCTCTGCCTTGATTATCGTCGCCGCCACAAGTTTCATTCTGAGCTCCTGAGCAGCGGAAGTTACAAGCGCTGTCGTCGTCCAGAGTAGTGGGTATCGCATTCCCACACCAGCATTCACTGCGGTAGCTTGTTCCGGCGAAAGTCCATCCGGCTTGGTAGCAAGAACCTGTACAACGCTCGATGGAGTTGTTGTCGTCGGTGTAAATGTTTGTGGCGAGTTGCCTGCCTGGAGTCAGGTCGCGGAAGCAACCTGCATAAGCGTACTGACTTGTGCCATTCGCTAGGAGAGGTCCAACCTGTGGAGCGATAGAATTGCAATTGAATTGCAGAAAGAACTTTCCGCTGTCCGTGTTGGTGTTAATCGTCCACTGAGCATGACCCTGCTCAGTTGGAGTATTGACTTGTCGCTCCAGGGCGGCGCAATAGAGGGTAGCGTTCTGACTCTGGCCTGCTCCAATGATAGTACCTTCAGCCAAGTCAATATTGTTAGCTGCTCCCACTATACCAGGGACGCCGTATGGGGCCTTCGAGACGGTCAATTTCAGGGGCGAAGCAGTGCTTGATCCGTTATTTGTGATTCGCAGAATCAAATTCCGTGTCGTCCCTTCCTGTACATCGCCAAAGGAGAAGTTCTGGCCTGTGTATGGTATCCACGATGATCCATCTGGCGACTGAAACTCGACAAGCTGCCCAGGAGCACTGCCAGCCGTACCGAAGACGTTGAGAATCTTGTTACCTCCATCAGAGAACACAGTTGCGTAGACTGCTTGATTTCCAGCGTTAGTCGCGTTATATGTGATGCCAATAGTGGCCTGTCCATTGGCCGCAATGGTGAATGGGACACCACTAAAAGTGAAAGGACCGACTTGAGCGCTGCCATCGCTGGTAGTATTGGGAGTCACGAACGGGCCTTTTTCGGACACGAGAGAGTAGCTCACATTCTTCACTTTCAGCATCATGTCGCCACTGTTGAGCAAGAATGCTGAGCTTGAACTTGGTCCTGAGCCGATCGTGGTCTGGAAACTGACTTGACCAGGCGAGATGGACAATACTGGAGCAGCAGAGTTTGCCGTACCTTTGAGCGTGATAGGTGTGTTGGCAGAAAAGCCAGTGACCGCATTGCTCGTATCAGCAACCACGTCGCTCGAGAGCAGTCCGACGGTCTTTGGTGCAAAGTACGCCTTGAACGTGAAGACGTCGTTGGCGTTGAGCAACAAGGGCATGGCAGGGAGACTGTCGATTCGGAAATTCGGGTTGCCAACAACATTGAGCGCAGTCAAGGTCGTCTGAACATTGGCCGTACACTTGACGGTGAGGGGATCAGACGTGTTGCCAGTCGGAGTGTTGGGAAAGGTGTATGGCGAGGAGCAGTTGAGCGGCAAGCTCACGGGAGATCCAAACGCGTGAAGAACACCCTCCAGAGTTGGAACATATGCAATCCCGTTTCCAAATGAGATCTTTGCGAATTTGGCCACATTTGGAAAGTTGAAGGATTTTATCAGGGTCAATTTACCATCTTTTGGCATGGCGTCGTAGATTCTCAGGTTCTGTCCCTCGCGATCAGTCGTCCAAAGTAGCGCACTCCCGTCTTGTCCGTTCAGAGAAGTGATGGTACCATGCCCAGTTCCAAGAATACCCGCATTCTTCTCAGGCGTATCCGCGACCTTTGTGAAGACGGCATTGCCTGCCGCGTTGCAACTGAATTTGAACACATGGGTTTGGAACGTCGTGACAGGCACATAGACGTAGCCTCCACCCAGGGGGTTGACGCCAGCTCCAGCATACACCGAATTCTCGTTCTCAGTCACCTGAATGGCAGCATCCAATCGATTTTCGCCCATCTGGTAGCCGCCAAGGTTGTCCGTGTTCAGCCAGTATGTCTTACCAGACTTTCCCGTGACCATTCCGATGCGTCGACTATTCGGGCATGTGAATGTGTCTGAAGGTAACAGCTGGAATGGCGTAGTCCCGAGATCCTTGTCCGCTCCATCGAGTTGCGTCTTCTCCCATGGCATAAAGAAATCAACTGGCTGAATTGTACCATCACTGTTGATCTTCATGTTAACAACCGCCTCTTCTAGCGAAGTGGGTGGATTTCGACCTTGCACAGGGCGACCATTGGCAGGCAGCTCCGATGCGTATCCGTTTCCTGTCGAGAAGAACATGCTTCCAGCACCGTCATAGGCGAGTCCACCACCGGACATCCAGACACCACCGCCGGGCACAGTGTTGGCAGCAGGGCCACCCTCAGTAGCAAATGCTTCCACAATGGCACCTGTGGTTCTGTGGAAGCCAATGATAGCTCCGGTATAGTTGTATTGGATACAATGCGATGCCCATCCGGTGTAAATGTAGTCGCCGACTTGAAGGAGAGCAGGTCGCTGATGCTGATTGCCCCCAATGAACATCCTCCTAGGGTTGTTACGGAAGACGGTACCATCGACGAGCGTCGGGAAGCCTGCAGCCTCCGAGAGGTCGGCGGTATTGATAGCGTGAAAGTAGTAGCGGCCATTGAGACGTCCTGGTGGCTTGCTTGGGCTGAAATTGCCATCTTGAAATTGAGGAGCGTAGGTTTTGGCAGTCAAATACCACAAACCCGTAGACGGATCGATGACACCGGTCGCCGTGATGCCAATTGTCGGGTTGATATCCACACACCCTTCGAGCTCTGCTGTCAGAAATGGTACGTGAAGATTCCGCTGTGCCACAATTGCACCCGTCTTCGCGTTCAATTTGTATATATTGTTTTGCGTAGTTGCGATGAAGACATATTGCGTGTCTCCGATTGTGTATACCAGAGGCGATGCGAATATTTGCTCTTTGCCAAGTCCATTGAAGTTGCCGGGAATGTTGGCGCTCCATATCTTTCCAAAATTGGGGCTGCCGACGATCGCGGGATCCTGTGCCTGTGTCAGCGGAAAAGTCCACATACTGTACCAGTCAGTCATCTCACCATGTTGTGATTGGTCTCATAGCCTGTTCTTGAGTTACCGCCACCCCATGTGATGGTGTCGGTAAGCGCCTGACCAGCCGCTGGTAGGGAGAAGAGGCATGATACGAGCGTGGAGTATATGGCACTAGTGAAACGCATGCTGGGCGATCGAGAAGTGCCGAGCACTCGATTGTTGAGTGGAATGTGCAGTCCCTTCCTGGAGAGCTTATGGATGGGACAAATTGTTGTTTAAAAGGCATGTTCCCCCATCTGGCCGCATCCTGAATGCCGTTGCAAGAAACGGCTAACCATGTGGTGTGGCGTCTGCATGCGCCGCATCACTCCTTTCGCGCCAGTAGCACATCTCTCGTATACCAGCAGAGCGGGAATCCCGAGTGTTGGAGACAAAGCCTTCGAGCATGCTGCAGCCACAGGAGATGTCCTCCGAGACTGAACAGGAATGGTCAATATGCCACGAAGGCAGTGCGTGCAACGTCTAATCCCAAAGCGATCCATATGCTCGCCCGTTCTCGGTATCGTGGCGAGCCTGGCTCGCAGCCTAGATTGTTCGCTCAGTAGGGGAATATTGGAGGCGCTATACCGAGGCCGAGAGGCTGGCGTAAGGATGATCAGGCTGAGATCAGAACACCTCAGTGCCATTTGCTCTACTTGAATCAGCAATATTGGCGACTTGCATCTTGGAAGGCCTTCATAGCGGCGGTGGTCTGGCTCTGGTCCATGTACCCTGAGCGGGTAACTACTGTGCACGATGTCGAGTCCCACTTTAGCTCGTGACTTTATTACTCCCTAGGTCACATTTTCGCGGTAAGACTTGCAGAGCGGATTGCGCACGTACGAGTAAGTCTAGAACTTGACCATAGGGTTTCCTTGGCAGTCGTCGGTGATTCCAAACCTTATGGACCCCTACGCCCAATCCGAGATGTGAATAAGCGACTGTGGCTTGTGAAGGGCTTTACGCCTCCGCCGGCTCCTATAACATAAGCTACTCGCAGTATCTCCGTGCTCAGATTGACTCGAGGTAAAAGCATTGACCCCTCAAACGGTGCAGAGAACCCGTAGAGTCAATATGTCTCTTTGGACTCTTCGTTCGAGCTCTTCGCTAGTCTAGTCTTATCTTACGCTTCGGAAACTCCCTCGATACCCATACAACTGTAGCACTCTGTATCCAAATCAGCGGCTCGCAGATGAACCTACTTGCAGAAGGCTGCTGGACTTGGCGTGGCGTGCAACAACAACTTATTCACTCTAACGCCCATGGGAAAACGCCCCTGAACTCTCGAAAGAGCTGAAAAAGCATAACCCACGAATGAAGCGCAAACTTTCCCGACTTTTCGGAGTGACAGTGATAAGTTTGTCTATATCTGGCGTACAATCGAGGCCGCAGGATTGAAGCGTCTGTAATTCCACGGAGATCATGGCATGAGATGCGCTGGGGATTTATGATGGCTCTCCTTGTCGTCCGTTGCACATTCTCAACACGACAACGCTACAAGCAGCAGTACAAGAGTCTCCGTTCGTGTTAGATCAGGCGACGTACCTCAGATCCAGAAATACTACAAAACATCTGGAGCTTCATGTGTCCATGCTCACCCCAGCATGTTCGCCACTCTCCTTCACTCTTTCCAATTGTCCGAAAACTCAGTACAGTCTGGCATGTGACTTGTACTGTGTGCCAGCCTCAGCTCCATGCACATCACACTTCGTTCCTCTTTCTCCCATTGCATACTCTTGACAAATATCGCATTTCTCATCAGAGTAGAGATTTGCCGTCTCAATCATGCTTCCAAAAGGTAAAGCAGTCAAGAAGACCTTACTGATCAAACTTCCAGAGTCGACATCATAGTCCGTAGCCAAGTGCTTGGGCTGCGGATCAGATAGACGTGGATCTTCGAATGGTACGAGCGGCAAGTGAGCTGTATCCGCAAAATTGCCTCTGGTGGAGGCGAAAGGGTAGTCGACCAACTCGCTCTGCGTTGGGCGATTTGAAGTGAATACGTGCTGATATTGCCATAGAGGGCGGGGATTTTGTTGAATCTCAGGTGGGTTTGATTCTGCAACATTGTGTCGCGTAGTTCCTGGGGCCTCTGTGTAGCTGGGACAGTGCTGGAAGCATGAGGGGGCTGGTGGATCTCTGGCATTCGGGTAATCTGACCACTCGCATGGGGGAAGCGACTCCGTTGCTTCTGGCTCTGAAACCCTCATAGCCTCCAACATTGCCTTGCTCTTAGATGGTCGACTCCGTTGCCAGGTGACATCCTTTCGTGCGACTCTTGTGTGCCATGCCGGGTCATCCCGCACACGTCCCATCTCATTGGGCTGGGGTACTGTGGCCCTGACGTTTCTCCCCTCCTCACCTATAAGCCAGTTCTGTCGAGGTGAGGTGTCTTCTTCCGGCGATTGCTCGTCCGAGGAAGTCATACTAGAATCCGATATGACAGGGCGGCAGTACGCGGAGAGAGATGCCGACATATCAGATCCCTTCACTTCGATCAATTGATTCAGGCCTGTTCCACGGTGTTCACAGCGCGTCGCGGCCTGTCCGCTATGTAGATATGTACGGCAGATCCAAGTCGATCCGTTCGGCTCGGTGACCATATCGCTAGGTCGACTGTCACGTGAGCATGATGTCTTGGGACAGTGAACTGGTGTTATGTTTGATTGTCTATGTCTTGTATGTTGATGTCTTGGTTTTGACGGAGCAGCTTGACCTTGTCGCATTTGTAGGAGCGCATCCTGAAAGCGGCCGCAGTGAGACACGTAGGTAAGCGAGAACGGCAGTCGGTACTTACTTCGAGTCTGTCATATTCAGGTAACTCCTGTGACGCTCGTCGCAACTGATCAAGATCTTTGAGATCTTGAAAGAACGGCATTGACACGCCATCCTTCACCAGGTCCTGATTCCCTCGCATGCTGTCATCGATGGGAAGCCATTGAGTGTGATACAGCTTTGGCGGTGGCGGCGAAGCAACCGAGACCAAGGAAGACTTACTAAGAGCTTTTTGATTGCCCCGTAAACTCTTCGCGCGAGGTTGAGATGAGGATGACATACTCTGCTGTCCCGTCATGGCTATCTGATCTTCGAGACACAAGCCAACAAGCCAGCAGTACTGGTGTAATTAGTCAGCCTATGACCGGATGAGGAACTGTCCAAGTGAGTCCTGTTTCGGAGATGCCTGATGGTGTCTAGCAGTGATGTGAGGATCCAGCCAAAAAGGAGACGGAGAAGAGGTAGAAGAAGGGAAGAAGGAGGCGGGGTGTGCGAAGAACCCCATATATGTGAGCTTGCATGGGCAAAGCGCACGGACTTTTCCGAATCCTTCCAATGCTGAGGTTACAAAGTTGTGACACAGTGATCGGATAGTGCACCATATGACCAGCAGGACAGAGGGCGTCTCCGTACAACGGCGATTATATGCCGTGCTGACCGTAAAGCCTGGTGAGCATCCCGTCTGGCCTGAGAAGCGGATGCAGCTCGACGTGCACGCCTAGAGTAGGTCAAAGTCATCAAGCTTGTCTCGATACTTCATGATGTTCCTCTTGATCTTCGAGGAGTCGACCCAGGTGACGAAATCTTCCATGTTTCTGTATCAGGGGTCAATATCCTGGACTTCTCAGTGTATCGGCAACGTCTCATACCTTGTGACAAGAAATGCGGAATCCGTGATGACTTCGGTCCCAACTCGTACCTGGATCCACGATTAGAATGCGATAGAGCAGCGCAGATTCTGCCAACTCACGTGTCCTTGCTCGATGAACTTGTTGGCCGCGCTGACAGTTTCCGCCTACAATCCACGTCAGCATATAACTCGAGTTCCCAGCACCCCAAGCTTTTCCCTCGTACCATTCGCAACCTCGTCATCACCACTCCTAGTCGTCGTCGACAAAAGGCCGACACGGTAATCTTACGCTCAACATCAGAGAGCTTTCCTGTGCCGCTGCCACCGACTCCCAGCAGTCCCATATCATGCAGCTTCTCGAGCAGTAGATCCTCTTGCTTCCGCCTGAAGAGTGAATCCGGTGGTAGAAGGGCGACTCGATGGGCGAGATGTCTAAGCTTGCCGCATAATCGGTTGTAGCTGGTGTAGTCGGCAGGTTTGCTGATGGAATATCGTCGCACAATTTCGGCCTGGCGATGGTTGTCGTCGGATTTGTAGTTGATGAAGTCAACTTTGCGCAGGAGCTTGGACTCGTGATGCTTCAGTTTACGGACCATGTTTGCGATGGTCTCGTGGCAACGGTATGAGCAGTTGTCGCAAGAAGAGAAGTTGTTCAGATTTCCACGAGAAGATGTCGACGGGAAGAAAGCGGCAAGTGGGTCGTTATGGCTGCCTCAGGCCCTCAACCTAGTCACTCACACTCCCTCGTCAAAATTTGGGACAGTCATAGCACAACGACGTCAACATCATTTCGTGCCACTCCGATTGGGAACGGCTGGTCAACATGCCTGTGGTTCATATGCTGGACTATGCCGCTGGCAACATTCGATCACTGGTCAATGCCGTGGAAAAGCTCGGCTGGCAAGTCGAATGGATCAAGGATCCCAAGGACATTGAAAAAGCCGCGGTGTGTAGTATCAAACACACTTCACTCATATTATGACAGTAGCTGATGGCTGACAGGCGCTCAATAAATGATGTAGACTCTCATACTGCCTGGTGTGGGCCACTTTGGTCACTGCCTGACACAATTCTCTAATGCCGGATTTGTCGAGCCGGTCCGAGAACACATTCGTTCTGGCAAGCCATTCATGGGCATATGTGTTGGTCTGCAAGCGCTTTTTGAAGGATCCGCAGAAAACGACAAAGTGCCCGGACTCGGCATCATCAAGGGACGACTGGAGCGATTTCGGGATGACGACAAGAGTGTTCCGCAGATTGGTTGGAACTCCGCGAACACTTCTGCCAGCGACCAAAGTATATATGGCATGCGACCTGATAGCAAGTACTACTATGTCCACTCATATGCTGTGCCGTACCGGGAAGGGCAGTTTGAGCAAGACGGCTGGACTGTCGCTAAGGCTCGCTACGGCAACGAGGAATTCGTGGGAGCCATTGCCAAAGACAATGTCCTAGCCACGCAATTCCACCCCGAGAAGAGTGGTGCTGCAGGTCTGAGAGTTCTGAAAGCATTTCTGGAAGGAGTGAAGTCTGCACCACTTTCAAAGGAGCTTTTTTCAACCAAGGAGGGACTGACGAGAAGAATCATCGCGTGTCTCGACGTTCGCAGCAACGACCAAGGCGACCTCGTTGTGACGAAAGGTGACCAGTACGATGTTCGCGAAAAGTCGGGCGACAACGCAGTCCGAAATCTCGGCAAGCCAGTGGAGAAAGCTCAACAATACTACGAGCAAGGCGCAGACGAAGTCACTTTCCTCAACATCACATCCTTTCGAGACACGCCACTCAAAGACCTGCCCATGCTCGAAGTTCTGCGGCAGACTTCTGCCACAGTGTTCGTGCCTCTCACAATTGGCGGGGGCATTCGTGATACCACGGATCCCGAGACCGGCCGTGTAGCACCCGCTCTTGAGGTCGCGACCCTCTATTTCAAGAGTGGCGCTGATAAAGTCTCCATCGGCTCTGATGCTGTCACAGCAGCCGAAGAATATTATTCCAACAATAAGCAACTTTCCGGAAAGACGGCCATCGAGACCATTAGCGAGGCGTACGGAGCCCAAGCAGTCGTTGTTTCGGTCGATCCAAAACGCGTGTACGTCTCCGACCCAAGCACCACAACTCACAATCTGGTGAATACATCCTTCCCGGGGCCTAATGGCGAGAAGCACTGCTACTATGCCTGCACCATTCGAGGAGGCCGCGAGACACGTGACCTTGACGTGGTCCAACTCGTCACTGCTGTAGAAGCCATGGGTGCTGGCGAAATTCTCCTGAACTGCATTGATAAAGATGGTACCAACTCTGGCTTCGATCTCGAGTTGATTCGCAGTGTCAAAGCTGCAGTGAAGATTCCCGTGATTGCAAGTTCTGGAGCAGGTAATGCCGATCACTTCAAGGAAGTATTTGAAAAGACCAATGTTGATGCCGCGCTCGGAGCGGGGATGTTTCACCGTGGGGAGTGGACTGTGAAGCAAGTCAAAGAAGAGCTGGGCAAGACGGGGTTGATGGTTAGGAGGTTTGAGGAGACCATTTGAGTGTCATATCCGAGACTGGCAACATACCTACCTATACAGACACATATGCAAAGCGCTCCATTTATTTCAGCACAAAGAAATCATCTTCACCACTCCTACTGACTACTGACTACTGCACCGGTGGCACCGGTGGCTCATCTTGCACTCCATTCAATAGCCCCAACTCCTCCAAAGTCCTTCCTCCCGGCCTCGCCAATCTCCACACAACCTCCTCCCTCCCCTCCAAATCTCTCAAATCCTCACACCTCGTAAACCCAGTCTTTTCCAGCACTCGCATACTCCTCACATTCTCCACATCGACATGCGCTTCTACAAACTCCCATCCACCTCCCCGCCCCTCATCACTATCTCCTATTAATGCAGACGACGTAGAAGAAGAACAGGAAAAGGCCACATCCTCCCAAAACCACTCCACCCACCCCCTCAACGCCTCCGTCGCATACCCACTCCTCATAAACTCCGGATGAAGTAAGTACCCACAACTCGGCAAATGAAACGATCCCACAAGACCAATCACCCGTTCTTCATACCCTTTCCCTCCCTCTCCTTTCTCTTCTGTAGCAGAAGAAGAAGAAGAAGAAGAAGAAGAAACCGAGCATCGTTCCCGAATCGCGAAATTAAAAACTTCCGATCCGACAGCCCGAGCGGAAAGCCATTGTCGGCCTTGCGCGAGAGAGGTGACGGGAGGGGAAGAAGTGTATTGCATGACTTGGGGGAGAGTGATGAAGGACATGATTCCTTGCTCGAGGTCGGACATTTGGAGGGTTTGGAGGTGGAGGCGGGGGGTCCAGATGGTTTTTGAGAGAGGGGTGGGGATTTCATCTGCCATGAGGTGGATAGAGGAGGTGGTGATATGGGAGTGAGGTCTGTTATGTAAGGTAGGTAAGTACTACTGGTTATTTAAAGTATCGTCTTGGCGTTTTCATCGCGCGAGTCTCGAGAGACGCGACTTTGGCTTCTACGCGTCATCTTCGATATATCGATGATCCACACTCATGCTTGCACTGCAGTACTGTATCGTGACAAGATGCCTAAACGCAAAGCCGTGAAGCAGTTGGAACGAGAAGATTCGGAGCTTACGCCTCCCCCCGAGGGACTACTCGACAACGCCGCAGTCACAACGTCATCTCCTGGCAAGAAGCGCAAGATTTTGAAGAAAGAGGCGGTGGCTGTAGAGGAAACGTCACCAAAGAAGACCAGGAGGACAACTACAACGACGACGACGACGACGACGGCGAAGAAGAAGGGGAAGAGCACAGTCAAGGTTGAAATTGAGGAGGAAGAGGAGGCCGAACCTGGCGCAGACGCGAGCCCGACGACCAAGGCGAAGACTCAGCGCAGAAGCAGAAGCATCAAGGGGGATGCCAAGGAGGATATCAGAGAACAAGGAGACGACGACGATAAAAACGATACACAATCCAAGATTCCAGAAAAGAAAAAACGACAAAGCAAAGCAGCAGACAAGTCCGCAGAGATGCTCTCCCCCCCTCTCGCAGCCCGCACAACCGGCCACAAACTCCTCCTAGGAGCGCACGTCAGCGCCTCCGGAGGCGTACACAACTCCGTTCTCAACAGCATACACATCGGCGGCAATGCCTTCGCCCTCTTCCTCAAATCGCAACGAAAATGGTCCAATCCCGCTCTCACCGACCCACAACGCACCTCCTTCCTCTCCGCCTGCGCACAACACCACTATACCCCCTCGGAACACATTGTACCTCACGGCTCCTACCTCGTCAATCTCGCGCACACAGAACCCGCTCGCATCCAGCAAGCGTATACATCCTATCTCGACGATTTGCAACGTTGTGAACGATTAGGGATCAAATTATACAACATCCACCCGGGAAATAATCAATGCAATGATCGTGCAAAAGCAATCAAACAACTCGCAGAAAATATCAATCGCGCGCACACCGAGACGGAATCCGTCATTACTCTTCTCGAAAATATGGCTGCGGGGGGAAATGTCCTCGGCAGCACATTTGAAGATTTACGAGATATCATCGCTCTCATCGAAGACAAACGTCGAATCGGAGTGTGTATCGACACCTGTCACGCCTTTGCCGGAGGATATGATTTGCGCAGTCCAGAAACTTTTCACGCGACGTGGAAACACTTTGATGCAGTAGTAGGAATGCAATATTTAAAAGCGATGCATCTCAACGATAGTAAAGCACCGTTTGCTTCACATCGAGATGTGCACGCGAATATTGGAACGGGATTTTTGGGGTTGAGAGCTTTTCATATGTTGGTGAATGATGAGCGGATGTGGGGTTTACCGTTAATTTTGGAGACGCCGGTAGAGGTACGCGATGAAGAGGGACAGGTGGTGAAGGATGAAAAGGGGAAGAAGGGGAAAGAGGACAAGGGGATTTGGGCGCGTGAGATTAAAATGTTGGAGGGGTTGGTAGGGATGGATGTGGAGGGGAAAGAATTTACAGAATTGGAAGCGAGGTTGCAGAGGCAAGGGGAACCGGAGAGAAAGAGGTTGGCGGAGCAGGCGGATAGGAAGAAGGTGAAGGAGGATAAGAAGCAGAGTAAATTGAATTTTGGGGGGAAGGGGAATAATAAGAAGAAGAGGAAGAAGGGAGAAGAAGAATTAGACAGTGAAAATAGTGGAGAGGAAGAAGAGGAGGAGCAGTAATACGCCAAGTGAAGAGTGGTATGCGCATATTATCATGATGGTAATCACTTACGGCTCGTGCCAGGACCCCAAATGTGCACGGACCAAGCCACTCGCGGTATAGGACGTGCTTTCTCTGTGACACAATATATTGACCACGCTGCTTTGAGCAGACTCGATCTGTTATTCAAAACAGCATCAGAGATGGAAAACAAAGATGGAGATCCTCGCGCTGTATCCCATCTCTCTCACAGTGACTGACAGCTTCAATCCTCGAGCTTTCAAAACCCGATTAGAAAAAAAAGCAACAAAGGGATTTGTATAAGAAAAGGGGTAAAAAGTAAATTAACATTCGAAAAAGGACTGATTTTTCGTGTATCTCTTCAAGAACCATGACCCTCCCCCTCCTCCTCCTCCTCCTCCTCCCCCTCATCCCCACCAGCCCGCGCCACCCTCCCATCCATCCTCCTGGCCAACCGTCTCCAAATCGCACAGGCCTCGACAACCGTGGTAAAAAACAAAGCCGAACCCAATCCAATCCACAAGCCACTAATTCCCATCTTTAGTGGCCCCAATTCCAAAAAAATCGCCAGAGGAACCGCATACAAATAATTAATCGTCATAGTACACCACGCTCCAATATCTTGCCAACCAAATCCTCTCCCCACACTGTGAGGCCAATTGGCCGTCGAATCGAATATCATAAACATTGCTGCATAAGGGAGAGCTGCGCGGACAATGCTCGCGACAGCCGGGTCGTGGATAAGGTAGGTGATGGTGAGATGTATCAGGATTATACCCAGACAAGCATCGAAGAGGCCTGCTATAGCGAAGACTCCAGCGTACCATTTGATGAGTTTTTTTGTTTCAGAGAGATTTTTCCCTGCGCCGACGAGTTGTCCGATTCGTGTGGAACAGGCCACGGAAGCGGAAAAGGCAATATGCCAAACCAGAGTAGCGATGGTTCCCAAAAAAGTTTGACCGGCGAGTGCAGCGTCGGAGACATACGCGGTGCAGAAAGTGAGAATTTCAAAACACATCCATTCGCTCAATGTCATGAGAGTTCCCGGGACCGCCAGCCGGAGAATAACATTCCATTTCCTCCGCCACTCCTTTCGAATCTCAGATCTCTCAGGCCAACATTTCATCGTCGCAGGATTGCCAAATCGCACATACAACCCCAATAAAACCGGGCGAAGCACATTCGTCAAAGCAGCAGAAAGAGCAGCTCCAGCAACACGCATATCCGCTCGATATACCAACCCATACGTCAAACCCAAATTGACCGGTAAACACGCCAACAGAATGACCAACCCCCCAGTAAAATCTCCTTGAGCTTGTAAAAATCTCTTCCCATTCTCAAACGTCACAAACCCCGGGACGCCAAGTAACGTATACCGTAAAAACCCACTCGCGTGCATCGCCAATGTCGTCGAAGGAACAATCCATCGAATGATCGGTCCAGAACACATCCACAACCCTCCAATCGGAACGACGGCTACGACATGCACTAAAATCGTGGCGCGGATGGTATATAATCCCACTTCGGAGAATTTCGAAGATCCGTAGGCTTGGGAACAGAGGGTATCTAAGGCCGTGGCCATGCCTTCGAAGACGGCAAAACCGGTGATGTTGGCGGTTGTGATTCCGAGGGAGACGCCGGCGATTTCTTCGGTGGAGAGTTGGGCGGCGACGATGATGATGATGACTTGGTAGAAGTATTGCAGGAAATAGGTGAGGACTAGGGGGCCGGAGGATTTGAGGAGGATGGAAATTTCGGTGTGGAGGGAGACGTTGCGGATGTGTGTTTTTTTGGTGGTTTTGGGGTTTTCTTCTTCTTCTGATGAGGCTGAGGAGGCTGAGGAGTTGTTGCCGGAGAGACTGCCTGCGATTGTCGTGTCGGAGCCATAGCCATAACCATAGCCGTAGTCGTCGTCGGGGGAGAGGAGAGCAGTCGTCTCAGTCGCACGCTCATTTGTTGTTGCAGCACTCATTGTATATATATAAAAAAAAACACCTTAAAAACCTCTCTCCGCTATTCCACAAAGACGGCTTTTTTGGGTAATACAACGGAGAAACGAGTGAATCTCACCTTCACACACACAAAAAAAAAGTTTCTGGAGAGACGGGCAAATATGTAGTGTTTTGTGCCTAGCAATGCTGCATGCCATGCCTTAGCGCGCTTCTGGGGATTTCTTCCCGTTTTAGTGTGTTTTCTTCTCGGACCGGATGACGTTGAGCCGACGGACTTTTTTTTTCTTTTCGGAATTTTCGGAATTTTTTGGAAATATAAAAAATACATTTTCAACAAAAAACTTTTTTCTGTGTAGAAAAATTCTATAACTACATAATCTTATCTTTGACGAAAGACGATATCGGAGAGTATAACACGTGCAGACGCAGCGGCAATATGGGATCCTACTGTTGTCTGATAGAAATGTAGAAAGTCTACCTCGCCATTAGCTGACTGTGATTCAAAGCCGAAGGAGAAAGTAAGCCGGTTGAGTGAGTCGGCTTAGGAGGTAAGGCTGGATTCAGTCCATAGCCCTAGCTCTCTAAGAGGCCCAGAGAAGAGAAGTCTTGGAGGGAGGAGAGGAAGGGTTCTTCTTCTTCTTCTTCTTCTTCTTCTTCTTCTTCTTCTTCTTCTTCTTCTTCTTCTTCTTCTTCTTCAACTTCTTCTTCAACTTCTTCTTCAAGTCGATAAAAGACAAAAGACAAAAGACACAAGACGGAAAACAGACATTGCTGCGAAAAAACACCTCAGGTACCTCACCTTCCCACACGATCCCACCCAGCGAAAGCTACTTTAGGTACTCACCTACCACAGTCCTCCTCCAATCCCCCAAACTTCCCTTCCCTCCCCTCCCTTCCCCCATCCATCCCCAAACAATAATCCCTCCCTCCTTCAAGGCAAAGTATACCCCCCATCAATAATCGTATCACTCCCCGTCTGAAACGAACTCGCATCCGAAGCCAAATACAAAAACAATCCTTTAATCTCTCGTACATGTCCCTGTCTCCCCAACGGTGTCATCCGATACGCTTCACTCTGCACAGCAGCTGCCGCGCCCATTTTCGTGTCGAAGAACCCCGGAGAGACGATGTTGACGCGAGCGAAATCTCGCCATTCGCGTGCGAGAGACCGGCCGAGGTGCCGCACGGCGGCTTTGGTGGCGTTGTAGATCTGGGAGGAGGAGGGGTGAGGGTGAGTTGGGGGTTGGGGAATTTTTTCATGGAGATGGGGAATAAGGCTTTTTTTTTCGCTGATGAAAGGAAAATTGAGGTACTACTCACGGGTTGATCGATAGGCACATTGACGATATGAGCAGAGATACTGGCAGTGATGATGAGATTGCCAAAGCCTTGTTTCTTGAAAACGTGACCGGCGTATTTGGCTTGATAAACGACACCATCGGCTGTGAAGAAAAAGGGGGGTGCAAAGTCAGGTCCATCCTCAACCTCACCTCACCATCATCCCAACATCTGGAAAAAAAAAAAAGAGGAGAGAACATACTATTAACCTCCATCTGCCTCCGATACTCCTCCACCGAAGTCTCAATCAAAGGTTTCGAAATCGCCATTCCAGCATTCGCCACAAAAACATCCAATCGTCCAAAATCCCTTACAATCCGATTTATCGTCTCCTCCACCCTTTTCGGATCCGATACTTCCAATTGATAGGCTTTAACTTGCACATTATGCAACTCGGCGAGTTTGAGACCTTTGGCGATTGCTTCGGAGTTGGAATTGTATAAGAGTGCTACATGGCCGCCGGCTTCGGCAATGGCTTCTGCGACTGCCCAGCCAATTCCGGCGGATGCGCCTGTGATGGCGGTGACTTTGTTGCTCATGGAGAATTGTTGGAGGACGTTGTCGGGGATGTTGGGGAAGGGTTTGGGGAGGCGGGGAGTGGAGTTGGTTTCTTCGAGGGTCATGGACATGTTTGGAAGTTTGGGCGGTGGGTTGGGTTGGGTTGGAGTGGAGATGGGAGTGATGTTGGAAGTTTTGGGGGATTTTTGAATGGAGAGTAGGAAGATGAATGGGAGGTAAGGTAACTGTCACCTCTCAACTACAGGTAGGTATGGATGGCTACCTCACCCACCCACCCCATGTAGCTGTGCTGTCATTATTATTCTTCTACGAGGGATAGAGGACCGGGGAGTGGAGACCCTACCCGGCTATAGAGAGAATCATATCCCCCATCATCTCCCGGCTCTATGCTATACATGTGCATATCCAAGAGGCGATTTACTCAGTTGCTACATATAGCGATCAGACCAGCAATGGCCCCGATGAGTGAAGAAATGCAGAGATCAAGGGGAGAAAGAGGCACAACAGAATAGACGGATGAACCTTTTTCCGAGAACCCCTCTCAAACAATAACCAGGGGCCCCAGCAGAGATAGAAGAAAGACGACTACATGTACTCATTCCAGGTTGTATTGTACTACTACCTGGTAAGGTACCTACATCTATTACAGACATCTCGCCCATCCTCCTCTCGTCAAGAACAACAACCACGGGCTTTCCTGGTGAGAGAGGTCTTTCTGGCTGACACATGCAGATTGGTATAATGGTCTAGCGTTCGTTCATAAAGTCGTTGATTTCTAGATGCCTACAGGTAGGGTACACCTTTCTAGTTTTTCCCACTTCTCTCTCCTGCTTTCTTCATCCTGCTTTCTTCATCCTCGCTCTATACCATCCTGTTCCGAATTGCTGTTTCTCATCATTTCTTCTCTGTTCTGTTGTCGTATCGTATCCCTCATCTCCAAATCCCTCAAGGCACTCTCTCTTCTTCTTCTTCCTCTTCATCTTCTTCTTCATCAACAACCCGCATACAAAGAATTCGCATACAACGCATACGTATCCGCATTCAACACCGCCTGCGAACTACTCAAATCCATCGCCGCCTCAAACCCATACGCATAATCATCCGTGCCGGGGCTATACACCAGTGGCGCATGAGTTTTCTCATGCAAAACCGTCGTCGCCTGATCTTGCCCATGGCAATCACTACTGACAGGCTCGAGATATGTGTAAAAAATGTCGCAGTATGCGATATAATTGTACGCGGGCAACGTGTAGCCCAAAACGCCCCCTGAATGGCAATAGCCGTATTTGTCGTCGGAGCAGGATGTGTCGGTGACGCCGTTGGTGGTGCTGGCGCATTCTTTGGCGACGGCGGCGAAGCGCGCTGAGACTGTGTTGGCGACGGAGCTGGAGCTGGATTTGAAGTATTTTTGGAGTTTATAGCCGGCTGCGGCGGCGGATGCGGCGTTGTTGGCGAGATCGGCACAGTTGGAAAGTGCTTGCTTGAGAGCTGTACTTCGCTGGCCGGAGCAGCCGTTGGTGCTCAGTTCCGTGCGTTTTTTTGCCATCATGGTGTGGACGGCGTATGGGACTACTTTGGCTTGGTCGCCATCAATGTCCATGGTGAGAGCGTTGCTGGAGAATGCTACTGATCTGCCGGTGAGAGTGGTGCTGTTCAGTTCGGCATACGGCATGGACCCGACTGCTCGGACGGTATAGCTGCCGGAAGTCTCGACGTCTGCGAGCGTGAGTGAGTGCCTGGCTGGGTAGATCAAGTGATGCAAGCATACCGTAAAGCTCGGCGACGTCGATCTCTGTCTCGATAGTCTGCCCAGGCTGTATGGGGACGAATTGCGTTGTCTCAAGATTGGTGGTGGCCATCCGGAGAAGCACCCCGTTGAACGCAGCTCGTGACGCTACTCATGGTCAGTGGCCATAGTGTTCCAGTCACGATTGTAGTGACGCTTACCTTCTCCGTGGACCTCAAACTTGTCTACGGGAGAATCTCCATCGAGAAAGGAGCCCTTGTAGAACAAATTGTATCCCCGAGAATCGGTATTGGTGACTGCAGCCTTAACCATACTGTTGCTGCCGAGAGAAGTGAGCTCAACCTTCAAGGGTGTGTCCCTTTTCAGCATCTCAACAGCTGCACCGTAAGCAGAAGCCCACCAGAGGCCAGTAGTGAGAAGCGAAAAATGCATCGTTGCAGAAGGAGTGACTGTGCTTCAAAGGAGTGTGCAAGCCCTACCAGAGGGTTTGAAGAAGATTTACAAAGAAAGGAATGGATAAATGCAAACAGAGAAGAAGGCAGGCTTGTGGATGGGCACCGAAGAGTCGTTCTCGATAATTGTGAAGTAGACGACTTGCCTTTATAGCGATCACCTGCTAGTCAGACTCCATAGGCCCACTACGCCACGAAGTAGTGCATCGAGTATGCCCACAGAGGCATCAGAAGCAAGGCGGACGAGCTGCCGTGTGAGGAGCTGTGCCGCCAAGCGCTAGGAGACAGAATCGTCTCAAGGACCTCCAGTGAATTCTGAGATGTCAAGATGAGACCAGGTTCCAAGCTGAATCTGCGGCGCATGGAGTCTTGAGGCGTCTTGGCTGTGCAAAAGCAATTGTAGGAATACGTGAACGTGACTTGTGCAGAAGAGGCGCGACTTTTCTACTGCTTACTGCTTTCGGGAGAAGACGAGTGCTTCGACCCTAGGGTCTGTTGACACTGATTTCTTTCCGTTGTCAGCATGCTTCTTCATGCATCCGATCTATGTTGTGCGCTCGTCCATCTGGCGGTATGTCTGCCAATATCAAGCACGACCACTGATTGCGTGTTCTGAACGAGACTTGCTGTGTTTCGAACATTGTCTAGTGCCACAGGCGCGCATATGTACAGAGTCTGTGGAGCACCAATAAAAACGAGACGAGACCGACAGTGCAGATGTTCTGCCTCCTGTAGTTAAGCGCCAACGAAGAAGCAAAGATCTGCCCTGAAACATGAGAGGCGCGTGGTGGAGAAGGTGATTTAGTACAATCGCGTGTGACCTGTGTGATGGCGGACAACGGCGTTGGTTTCGTTAGCGATAGGAGGTAGCATGAGGTTGATTGATGGATGTGAGTCCGAGTAGAAGCGTGCGGTTCAAGAAGGGGCAATGACCACATGACTCGTTCTTGGCGTTGGTGGTGAAACGACTCCGAGCCGGTACTGCACGAAACCAGATTCTCATCCGTTCACATTACCTCCTATGCGTACCCGGAGCCTCGTCGTCGCAGCCATGACGGTAAAGTATGGTCACATCGAAGCGATCGGAATCACAGCGCCAGTGTAGGAACGTAAGTACTCGCGCGTGCGCAAGCGAAAGTAGACTGCTATAACAACTACTACACCAAGATACATTACTTGTACCCTCGGCGTGGCATAGGCGAGGCGCTGTGGGCCTCACTTGAGCTGTGAACACTGATTACTAGGTGCGAGACGACGACATGCTGAACACGCGAATAGGGGCTCCAATCATCTCAGGCATTCTCGCCGTTTGCATCACAACATACTACTACTACTCCTCCTACTACCTCATCACGACACCCGCAGCACAATCGATTACCGACTTCGCGATGACTACACCAGGGCCCCAGCACGCGCGAGAGCCGTCCGTAGACGATTTACATATCTTTCTATCGCATACATGGCAGCCAGTACCGACAGTCAAAGTCACGATCCAGAATACCCATCCTACGTCGTACATGAGCTTTTTGTCATGGGATACGCCCGTCGACCCATCAGCTCTCAATACTGGCGTTCTCACAATTGTATATGCAGTTTCTGGCGAGCCTATCCTAGGACCCGGGCTCAAGCTCAATCGACTGCTTCCTCCACCCCGCGAAGATATCATTGAGCTAGCACCGCAGGAGACGATTGAAGTGGACATTGACTTGAGCGCGCCGTGGATACCTGGCGATGGCAAGCTTGTCAAAGTCCACGCTCTGGGGGAGTGGAGAGCAGTATGGGCAAAAGGAAAAGATGAGATAACAGACGAGGAATTGGGGGCTATGAGTGGCCCTGGCGTACTGCGAGGGCCGTTCAGAAGCGTGAGGGATGTGGAAATGGAGCTGTGAAATCGGTAGCAGCGACCTATCTTCGACCTTCAGCTCATTTGGCGGTTCTCGTAGCTTATGCAGTGGCTGAGGAGGGCGTTGGGACATACTTAGCAGCGATCACCATTTGTGGTCTGGTAAGGTCATCTTGCCTACAAACAGCACATGGTGCTCAGCTTCGGCTCTACATAACTCGGATGAGACCGAGAGACGGGAGAAGCGGGCCTGTGTCATCTCTTGGCTGTGGCTTGAATAAATCAGCACATTCAGCAGTCAGAATGTGCACCCAAAAGCAGGTCGTGCAAGGATCAAACGTGGTCAAGGTGTTGCGCAATGGCTCAACCATAGCGTGGAGACTGGAGACCTGATACTCGGATGTTGACTGTGGACACTCAGAACGAGATCAGGTTTGCGGCCAGAGACGATGTTCAGTGAAAGCGAGCCGTCATGTCTCTGTTGGCACGGTCATGCTTACCAGACGCAGCTTCTCGCTTTCTGCTCTTTTTTGATTGGCCCGCGGTATTGGTGTGTTGTCGTGGCACTCGAAATTGCATACAGGCAGTTGAGATATGTACAGGGGACTCTGGAGAGGTGCACATGTACCTGTTGTGTGACGATGTGGTATATTGACCACTCCTTGGCGACATGCTTACGAGTTTGGGTAACTTCACTTGGCAGCGGCTCCACTTCTCTTCACAATTCCGACCTCATCATCCACCTCGGCCTCACAAGCCAACCATACACCCACACCAATCCATGCTCTCCTCACAGTCGGCGTGCGTCTGTCATCTGAGACTGGCGACGCTCCACTTGTTCGCAGCTGCTGTGTTCAACACTCTCTATTCTTTAATAACGTGAACAGTCAGCCAAGCCTCTCTCGATATAGCACCTAACCGGTAGCCAACTGTTGCACCACGTGGCTGTGGCGGCAGTCCTTCAATCTCGATATCACTACTGTTCTTGGCCGTTCATACGCCAAGTCACACTCTCACCCACTTTCAGCAGGCTTTTGTTCTCCATTCGCTCAGCCCCATCCTGGCCACAATTGGCTTCTGCCGCGCCGCACAATGGAGAGCCGCATCTGGGCGATCCGGATGCAGGAATGCCACAGATCGCATACACGCATGTACAAGCACACCGAGGCGATGGGGCTTGTAGGGCATTCCGGAGTCACTATGCCTGGTAGCAGAGAGCTCTATCGAAGCAGCCAAGACCCACTCATCCGTACATTGATACATTGATGCCGGGCTGCTGGGTGTAGCGACGTTCCCACCCGCGGACATGACTGTGCGTCTGTCCAGGTTCGCTTGTGTATCGGAGAGTTTGGATCTGGAAATTCTTGCTTGGGTCTTCTGCCGCAGCAGAGTATTGGGACTGCTGTTGTACATGGCGAAGGAAGCAAGGCGTCAGCAATCACCGTCCAGCCAAGAGTCCCGGCTGACTTTCACAGTCCACTTCTATTTCCATAATAGGACGTCGGAGGAGCGTGTCGAGGACTATGTGGAAGTATATAATATATTGTCTTGCTTTCTCCTCCTCCAAAGACATTAATCCCAACTACTAGCCACAAGTGTGACTTTTGGAAGCCCAGCCCAGCTTATATACAGCCTACACAGCTAGTCCACCCAAAGGCCAACAAGCATCATCACCACCACATCTGCCATCATGTACTTCGCCACCATTGCTGTCCTATCAACGGCTCTTGCCTCTTCCACACTTGCCGCCCCTGGAGCCCCCGAACACCCAATATGGAAGAAACCAGGCGGTGATAGCTGGTTCCGAAGAAAACAAGTCTCACCTCCCAGCTACGAGCCCTCGACGCCAGACAGCGGCACAGAGTGCCCAACACCAACCAACTCCACCTGCCTGACCGACGAACAAGCCGCTGCCGGTGCCGAAATTTTCCGTCGTCTCATCCAAGACTATTCCGACGAATTGGCTCTAGACGCCCTCACGGAGGACTTTGTCGATTATTCTTCCGCAGTCAATATCATCCGTAATCGCGGCAACGAAGGCCCTTTTGTCGTCAATGAAATCTCTTTCAATGGCCGAGCAGCTTTCATGGCTGCACAAGGTTCTCAACCTGAAATTCCTTTCGATACTCTTAATACTTTCCACGGCTGCAATCATGTCGCGACTCGATGGCAAACGCTTCGTTCTGCCAATGGACAAGCCACCGAATCGAATGATATTGTAAGTAACATCCTTCTTCCTTCTTGTTGTAGTAGAAGTGAGAAAAAGAAAAGCCAGCCTCCCCAATCCCCATATACCAACCAACTAACATTCCTTCTCCTCCCATCCAGCCCGTCGTCGGCAACGGAATCCTCGTAACCGTCCCCGACTCCAACAACACGTATGGATTCCGCGTCAAAGAACTTTATTCGGAATTCAACGCTGCCGCTTGGCTTGTCAATAATGGTGTTTTTACTCCTTCGGCGGTTACGACTTCGAATTTCCCGGAAGCGACGGCTCCTCCGCAGAAGAGGACGCATGAGTCTTTGTTGATGATGAAGAAGGAGAAAAAGAAAAAAGAGCATCACTTCATCCCCAACCAAGACAACCAAGACAATCAAAACAAGCAACCAAAAAAAAAAAAAAAAAAAAAAAAAAAAAAAAAAAAAAAAAAAAAAAAAAAGGAAAAATCAAATCATCCTCCCAGCAGCATCCATCAAATCTGTCTTTTTTCACGTCGCGAGCTTAGGGTAGCTCTTGGGAGTGTGTATCATCATCATCAGCAGCATATCAGCATATCAGCATATCAGCATGTCATCAGCATATCAAGTCGCTAGAAACTTGATCTTCTTCTGCAGCAACGAGCTAAAATGGGTTGTTTATATAGGTATACATATTTGTTAATGAATCAAAAGCCTCTTATTTTTGTCTCTCTCCCTCCCCCTTTCCCTCCCTCTCCCTCCCTCTCCCTCCCTCTCCCTCCCTCTCCCCCTCTTTCTCTTCCTTCTTCCTCTACACACAAGAGTTAACAACACAACTTCCAACCTTACCCCGCTCCTCAACCAAGGACAAAAATCCGCTTTTAGGATCCGTTTCGGTTCTGAGGGAAAACGGAAAACTTAAATCCCTAGTACCTAGTTACACCTTACTTCCTAGTTATACCTAATTCCTATTACCTACAGTAACCTACAGTAACCTAATACCTAAGTAACCTAATACTACCTAGGACCTAAACAACAACCCTACTAATATTTTTCTTCTTTCGCTCCGAAAGCGTTCTGGTACGCGGACGGACGGACGGCTGGAGAAGGGAAGAGATGATGATAGGTATCTATAAGTAAGGTAAGGTAAGGTAATACTGGTAAGGTACTAGGAATTTTACTTTAGTAGTGCTTGTCGAGGAACTTTTCTTGAAGAAAAGAAAAAAGGAAAAGAAAAAAAAGAAGTTGCTACTACTTTTACTATAAGGATAGTGTTGTAGTTGCTTTTGTTCTGTATAGGGACGGGGATAATCGTCTGGAATGTGTATATACGTATGTATGTATATATTGCTTGTTTGGAGGTGGTTTGTAGCAGGTAGGCAGAGAGAGAATTTGGAGGCAGGAGCGCTATTGGGCAGGGATGATAGTATTGCATATCTAGAGAGGGAGATGTTTGATCTAGTATATAGGGAGGTAGGTAGGTAGTGTTAAAATATCCCTGGGGGGTGGTTTCTACATCGCTAGGTGATTTGGCAAGTCAAGAGGAGGTAGGTAGTAGTGAATCTGGGAAAGTGTGATGTTCGGTGAAGTCGAAGCGGGCGGATCATGTTTGGTTCGGTTTCTATATAGTCTTCAGATGATAGTGGAGTTGTCTCAGATATGCTACTTCTCAATAGCCTTCTTGATCAGCTTTGCGCCGACGTCGTCTCGAGTGGTCCTGCTCTTTCTCTTGCCGTCTCTTTCCCATCACCCAGTTGAACCATGTGGCTACGCAGAACATAGATGCGGCGCGAGAGCCTTGGTGATGGGTCGATCCCGGGATTCTTTCTCAGCCTGTTGGTCCACGCGCAATTCCAGAGCCCTCGTTTGGCTCGAACCCCGCCAGCGCCTCTGTCGTATAGATTCTCCATTTGCCGTCCTTGAGATGGAACTTGAACAGCGTCATCACTTGTCTGATGATACCGTCGGGAATGTTGTGGACTTCGATGCTACTGATGGCATTCGCATGCGTGTCATCGATGTAAATGACATCCTTGAACGCGGTGTTTTGTGCCGACCAATTCGGATTGGTCTTATTCATTTCTTGAATTCCATTGATATAGTCCTCCAGCGTCTGGACGCTCTGTGACCAGAAATATGGACTGCTGGTCACGCAAAAGTTCGGGTCGTAGGCTTCGCGTACGAGCGGGTTGTCCAGTGTAAAGGTTCGGGTGTTGAGAGCATTCACCAGACGACCCATCGTTTTCATGAGCTGGTAGGATATTTGCCCCCATTCCGCCCTGATCCTGTCTGGTGGACCGGCCATGATGTCCGATCTGACGGTGTAGTGTGAGCAAAGATCATGGACGCTAGCAGACAGGAAGTTGCGCCAACGTCGTATACTGTACCATTCCAGTTCGGGGCCCTGTCCGAGCATGTGTCTAGAAACCCTGCCAAGACTGTGTGATACTGTTCTCAAAACATGGGTCGGGATATCGAAAGCAGGCATGGAGTATTATGCGCATGGTCTCGCCTATCCCCGACCATGACTTCGTTGGTAGAATGGGGGTAAAGTTGCACTTCCAGTGTCCACTGGTTGTTTTTGACTTCTGCTCGGTATTCTAGAAGTACTCCGCTTGTGGCTGATACCCGGCAAGTCCACTGCCAGCAAGGACTAGCACAATATCCCTCAGTAGAACGTTACGCTGGCTCCGTGGAAACGAGGGCGATGTGGAGCGGCTGTATAGAGGAGTGGGGCCATGCTACACACGAATGGGCAGCAAATTTCCGTATTGCACTGGAGACGATGAGAAGGGATTCCATCAAGTATGTCAATTTTCTCATACCGTCGTTGTGATGTGCAGAAGACAGAAGACAGGCTCGTAAAGGTCATTGCTTCGCGAGGCGGGAGTGCTAATTTCGAACCTGATTCGAAGCAGTAGTCGTTGCGAGATGATGGCAGCGACAAGGCTACAGAAGTAGTAGCTGTTGGCCTGGCTAGGGTCAAGAGTTCAAACTCTGCTGCACTCATTCGTGCAAGACCCAAGACACTTCCCTATAAGAAAAAGTCCGGCAACTCTGCCGCTTGGATGTCTCGGGTACAGGTGCTCGCGGCTATCGCGACGCGGGGAAGGATGATGCCAGTATGGAAAGATGGCATGGTTTGAGGTGCGATAGGCGCCGGGCAGCCCCCATCTTTGAGGCTAAGGGCAGCCCCCATTTCTGGCTAGTCGCTGTGTGAATAAAACCACAAGGTATAACTTTTCACCTTCACCGTCATGTGCTCTCTCGGTATCGGCTTCTCACTTTGCATTGCACCGTGAAGGGTACCCCTCTCGATTCTCGGCCCTGGTATAATATTCAAAAGATGGGGGGCCCCCCGTGGCCGCGGCGTGCGATTAGGTGAATGAGCAGAGTTGCGCTTGCGATCGAGGTGAAGTCCAGGTAGACATATGATGGGCGCGGTTGGCCGCGGCCACGAAAGTGCGGACGAGGAGGGGGCACTAAGTAGAGAATGTAGAGATACATCAGGGGAGAAGTCTGGCCGTCAGAAAGAGATGCCCAATCGCACGCATCTCTTGCTGTCGGCCGAACTAGGTCTTTTCCCTCACCTCATCTTCACAGTTCACACCATCGTGACCATACCGGCCGCTCCATGTCGCCTTCGCACTTGGATGCGATATGGTCGGCAGAGTGTAGCCGGTGGGGAAGAAGGAGAAGAAGAAGAAGAAGAAGAACAAGAAGAAGAAGCTCTACGTAGCATATACCGGACATATACCGGCGCCTGCACGTCGTTGTGCCCAATGTACGGTATGTCCTTTCTGACATGTTGACTGTGTAGTGACAATCCATGTGATAGAGGATAATTTCCCGAACTAGGGCGTTCGGATGAGTCCGAAGCCTTGATCCGACGGATGGTGGTGTGATCGATTAGGAGACCTCGGCGTCTTCTCCGACCTGCCAAGATCGCACTTCCAACCTCACTCTCACTCAGAGGCATCAGAACAGCCCATGATCACACCACATTCTGTCGTAAACACGAAATGTCTTCGGACGGTGCTCCAATCGCATGGCATGACACACGGAGAATACGGTAGGAAGAGAGGTAGGTGATGCCAGCATCCACCACCATGGATATGCCGCAACAACGGGAAGAGAACAAACGGGCATACATATATATATGTCTTGCAGCAACGGTGCCACTACATGAAGATCCACTCCACATTCAACCATTTACCAATATCAAAGAAGAAGAACTCAGAGACAAGTGATACCAATCAAAGATCAAAGATTTAAGACATTACCACACAAAACACAAGAGAGAGAGAGACATCATCACATCCAACCAAACCCAATCAACCCAACACCCCCAATAAAAAAAGAAAACCAAAAAAGAAAAAATGTCCCTCGCAACCTTCAAAGCCCTCACATCCCTCACCGTTCTCGCTTCCATACCCATCTACGGAGCATATCTAGTCACAGCCGACCACTCCGCGTAAGCCATCATCCCTCTCACCATTACATCCCTCCCCCACCATCCATCCCACTGTCCTTCCACAATCTTCCCATCTTCTCATATCCTAACGCATAAATATAGTCTCAAATTCGGCACTGTAGCAAGTAAAAGTATCGAAGGCCGCTTCCGCGCCTTTGACGATCGAGCAAGAGATTCGCTTCCAGTGGAGGAGAGAAGACATAGATTTCAGAGGATGAGGGAAGGGAGGGAGTTATGAGGAAGGGGGATCAGAGGTTGAGGAGGGGATGGGATGGGAGTTTGGGGGGTTCTATGGACATATTTGTGTGTAATATATTATGGTGGGATGAGCAGTACGACTTGATGATATACCTACCTTGGGAATGAACCGGTTTTTCGAAAAAGAAAAGGATTTTTCTTTCTTTCGCATATTCTGGTAGTGAGAAAAAAAGATTCTATGCTCTAACATGCAAACGCTCAAAGTACAGCAGCAGTTACAGCCACAGCCCACAGCCACATTAGCCTCCCAAGGCGTGATTCAAAATCATCAGTCAGGGATCACAACTCATCATGCTTCACGGCAGGCCTTCCCGAGTCCTTGTGTAAATCCACTCCAATCTTCTTCCTCCACTTCTCCCATGTGCCCCAAAATTCCTTTTCCATGCCGCTTTCCATCTGATCCGGCAAGACCACGACATACTCGACGTGGAGAGCACCGTATGCTTCGCTCTCATCTTTCCACACGGGCATGCCCTCGCCGGGGACCACTTCGACATGCCCCGGCTGCACGACTTCACCTCGTTTACGCGAAAGCTGCACGACATGCCCGTCGAGATGTGTCAGGTTGCGTGTCCAATCGCCCATCCACGCCTCTCGTAATGAGAGCACCTCTCTCCAAAATAAATGTTCTCCTTTCCTGCGGAAGAACGTCCCATCCGTCCGATCCTTCTCCTCGGCAGCAATCTGCGGATCACTCGCCACCACATGCACCAACAGACTCCCGGCCTCCCAGTCCGGACTTTCATCGGCCTCATTCTCATACATGACCGTCGCTCCATTCGGCATCCCCTTCTCCAGCGACAAATCATACGTCTCCTCGCTCTTAACCACCCTCGCACCCCCACACGTCTTGCATTTGTGTCGTACCGTCTCTCCATGCCCCCCGCACGCATCACATTGCATCTGCATCTGCTGGAAGATCCCAGGGGCCAACATCTGTTTCTGTATCACCACACCATGTCCCGAACATTTCGCACATTTATCCCTCTTCCCATCTTCCGATCCCGACCCTTCACACTTGTGACAAATGACCTGCTTCTCAATTTTGAACTCATGCTCAGCGCCCGTATAAAAATCCTTCAACGAGACTTGTATGCGAACTTCCATATCCGGTCCTTGACGTTTTCCATGTCCGAAATGGCCTCCACCTCCGAAGAATTGATTGAAGATATCGAATGGGTTCCGACCGCCTCCACCACGTCCTTGACCGCGTTCTTTGTGCTGTTTGACGCCTTCGGCTCCATGGCGATCATAGATCTGGCGGAGTTCGGAGTCGATGAGAGTTTCGTACGCTTCGGACACTTCGACGAATTTCTGGGCGGCAGACTCGTCGTCGGGGTTTTTGTCGGGATGGTACTTCTTGGACAGGCGGCGGTAGGCTTTTTTGAGGTCGCGGTCGTCGGCCGACTTGTCGAGATTGAGGATCTGAGGTGAATCAAGGGTTAGACGGTGTTGATAATGGGCTGGAGGTGAAGGCAGAGGCAAAGGCGGAGTCGGAATGGGGATAGAGAACGGACTTTATAGTAGTCTTGCGCAGCTGCTAGAGCGAGCAGGCCCAGCAGTGCAAAGGTTGAGAAGAGGAGCATCGTGAGGGAATGTTGATAATTCGTGTCGTGTGGTCGGACTTGACATCGATGGTCGACGTATCGTAGACGAGAGAAGAGAATGAATCTAGACGATCATTGCAGGAAGCTACTGCAAAGCAATACAAGTGAAGTGGAGCGAATGGAATAGGACAGCTAGACCAGTAAGACGAGGGACGAGTGAGTGAGTGAGTGTTTGAATGTCACCAGCTGGCGATTAGATGGCGCAGATAAGCTTTCATTTATCCCTGTCTAGCTTCAGTCTGCGGTTCGGTAGAGTCTGCCGGTCTGCAGAGCCTCCCGCTTCCCGCTTCCCGCTTCCCGTTTCCATCCAAAGACTTCTTCTCTTTCGAGAATACCACAACGACATTGTCGGTATTTTTTGATGCTTTCAATTATGAGCACCAAAGCCACTACAAGCACCAACTACATCAAAATTATCGGAAACAAGAACATAATGGCAAATCTGCTGGCTTAACGAAATTCGCGCCAGCATGCGGAAAGTCTGATAGATCGTCGAGGGGATAGTCCAGGGAATTGACCGTCGCGACATAAGCCTTCTGTATAGGTACAGGTATAAGTCTAGTTACTATGAGCTTATCGCTGCGAGAAAGGAGTCGACGAGGGCAGTTGTTGCAATTCCCGAGGTACGAAACCAGGTTCTCTCGATCTGAGAGAGAGTGTATGTAAGAGGGAGAGAGAAACGAAATGCCTATAAAAGTCTAATTTCGCCCTCTCTACATACAACCTCCCTAATTCGAAACCAAAACTCTATGCTCTTGCTCACTCCAAGTAGTAGTAGTAGCAGCAGCAACGACAGTAGTAACAGCCTCAGACCACGATCCAGCCATCGCTAAACATCCCGCACTCAGACCTATATAGAATACCACACTCGTCTCTGGTCTTTACATCTTTCCTTCAGCTGCGCCACATCCGCGCTTCCTAGAAACGCCTGAGATTCTCGAGTAGCATGAGCCAACCGATGCACGAGTTTCGCGTCCACATATCGAGTCTCATTAAAGAGCAAAGAAAGCAATCTCGTGAGCTGAAGACACTCGCGATGTCTCGGGTGTTCGTCTAAATGCATTCCGCGGCTGAGCCTATAGAGGGCGGCACGGAGCTGTACTGCAGTCTCGCACAGGCGTACTGTAGGGAGGAGGGTGGCTTCAATGTCTCTCGCCGCGTGTTCCTGGATGTACTTTTGGATGGGAGCAGAAACTCCTGTAACCTTTACAGTTCGACCACGTCCCAGGACAGTCAAAGGCCACAAAGTCTTCTGGAGCATTGCATCGTGCATTGCCATATTGAAGGCGTAGGAAGTTTTGCTGTGAGTGACAGTAAGATGGAGTTCGATGGATGTGAGTGCTTTGCTGCTGACCAGCTGTGAAGCTATACGAGCCAAAACACGACTGGCTGCGACACAAGACTCGACAGCATGCCCCCGACGCGTCGCTCGCCATATTGCACGACGACGAGTTGAACGCGAGACGCCAGCATTGAGTTCGAGGCTGATAGAAAGCTTCTGGAACTTGTGAATGTGTGGATCTATCTTACACCATCTGTCGATGAGTCCATTGACTGCCGAACCGATAGTGACCAGGCTCTCCCCTACGCGGTTGATATTGCAATGTGCGGTAGTATCCCGTAACAAGCGCTCGGAACCGCAGGCAATGGCTATCTCCCGCGTGTTGCCCTTATAGAGTATGCCTGTGCCTTCTCGCTGCAGCTGCTTGCTCACGCCCAATATCGAAGGGTAACAGCGGCGCGTAGTGAACCAATCTACTGCATTGGTCGCTTTCGGCATGCTCAATAGAAGAGTGTAAATCCAGTTGCGCATCTCCGCTGCCAGGTCCAGAAAGCGGAAAGGACCTGTCCATCTTTTGCCATCGACTTTGTCCGCTTCCATGAGCCAATACACGCACTGCTGTTTGTGTTTATAGCCCTCCGGAACGATGTTGAAGCGCTCGTAGACGAGGTCGCTCAGTTCTTTGGCTGAAAACCTGGCTGTATACAATGTTGCTGTAAGCCAGACAGGTGCATCGGGTAGACCGAGACGCCTCTCTGTTCTGTTCCACGCATCTAGATCAGCTGTTCTGTACAACAATGCTGAGGTGTGTGTGATGTGGTTTGCGGCCGGGGGCACGCCGAGCAGCGCCATGCCCGTGGTTGATGATACTGAGATGAAATAGTGGTTGATGCGTTTGGAAAGTCGCGACGAAAAGGGGGCAGTCTCGTTCCATCTGGAGCGGGTTGGAATTGCCCCAGGTAGAAAAAATAATCCAACAAATAAGGTAGTTGCAGCGAGCTGCTAGCAAGACAACACTTCATTTATACAACATTGCTATCCTGCAGCTTTCATCTCTCCCGTCTACCACACTGCACACTTTTCATCTCTCTCTCTCTATGAATTCTCGCTGTAAATTCTCCCTGGGTGCTCTTCTACAAGACGAAGCAAGAAAGCAAGAAAGCGGCCGCGACATTCACACCTGGTATATATGTCAGACGATACGTGACTGTTGCTAAAACCGACCACACATGGTCATGACAGCCTTGGAACGTCTCACTCCCTAGTGGGCCGAAGGGTCCGAGCTTCTCGCTCCTACGCCTGAGGGGATCCTCCCTGCTTCCTTGTATTGACCATTTCCCGGTGGACGCGATTTCGGAGATGCACCGAAAAGTCCTGTATGACCTTGCCAGGAACGGCAGTGTACAGCTTGCCGGGACAATCGTTACACCTGATTCTGGGCAGATATTGGAATTTCGTGCCAGCGGCTGGGACACCTCCAGCGGTTGGGGGCCCTCTGCCCTTGGTGATGGTTGCTTCAGTCTCGGCATCGATCGTATAAGCACGCATGAAAGGCATGAAATCATCATCAGGGTGCTCGGCTCGAAGGGTCGCAATGGATTCTGTCAGCCAAGGTGGTGGAGGTGGCGCCTCGTCGTCTGGTCCCGGCCAATGCGATATATCGACTGCGCCTCGTGAGTCGTAGCTGATGCCGTTCTTGCTCGGGCTCGCCTGTGGCTGCCGCCCAGCAGAGTCCGCACGAGAGTGATTGCCATTCGGTTGAGGCGTGTTTCGTGTTGCAGGTAGACTTCGCGGTGCCATGTTGGGTGTGCCCGAAGCGCCTCGAGCAGGTGTACCGGGCTGCGTGTTCAGGCTGGTGGAGGGCGCGGAGGCGTATCCTGACAGCGGGAATTCCTTTGCCCACTTCTTTGCTTGCAGAGCGTCCCAAACTGCCTTGAGCTTCGCTTTTGAAATCTTGAGCTTGACAATCAGACTTTCTTCCTCCTCAGCAACAGCAGCGCTCTCTTCCCGCAGTCGACTGGATCTTTCAGGCACAGTCCGCGGTTCTCGAGCGGGCGTAGGCACAGCCTGGGAGTCAGGAGTTGCAGATCGACCATAACCTGCACGCATGTTCGCCTGGGCTTGTGCAGCTGCACCGCGCATGCCCCTGGTCCGAGCAGTGCCTCCGACATTCACGATGGCAGCAGGAGCTGGAGACTGCTGTTCCGTGGCAGAGTCTTCGCTATCCAGATCATCAGAATCCATCTCACCATCCGCATTTCGGCCACTGCGACGAGCCCCTTTGCCGCCACGCCTCGTTTTGGGGATGCCAGTCGTTTCAAAGGTCTCGACAGCGCCGGGTATGACCGAATGCACGATCAAGGACCTGACAGTTCTCGGCTTTTCGCGCAGATCGGGAAGTGCCGGTCCGCCCCTGCGGTTGAGCTGTCGTTTCTGTGCTCGGTGCTCACGCATCATGGACGTCTCTGTCCGTTCTAGCTCCGCTTCACTCATTTCGTACATGTACGGTGTGAAGTCTTTCTGGCTTTGTACAGGTCGGAAAGCACTCAGAAGAGGTGCCGGTAAGAAGTTATCCCTCAATTCGGGGTCCTCGATAGGTCGTCCATCAAAGGCATGATTTGTCAAGTATAGTGCTTTCGTATATTGTTGGCTCTGCTCGCGAATCGAGTGAGCAATGGCTGTGGTGAACTCTCCCGAGAGCGCGTTTTCTTTCGCCATGGATTGCGCAAATTCCTCGGGAGAATTGAGCGGATTGTTGATGTCCCACTCAAATTGGTCGATGAGTGTGATGCGGCCAATCGTGATGTTGAGTTTGATCTGTATCCGCATCTCATCGTCCTTGTGGCCCGAGTAGGGCACACCGGCCTCGACGGGCCCGTCCTCCACAATCACATGGGGATAAAAGTTCTGTATCTGCTCCTGCATCTCGGCTTTGATCTGCTGAGAGACCTCACGTAGATTCTCGGGTGGAATCCGGAGATCTTCCAGCAGGTAATCCATGAATACGTCCTGATTTATGCACTTTTCATGCAGATTCCACGTAAAGGTGTCGCGCAGTCGCAGCTTGTCCAGCTCCATGTCCAGCCGTATAGGCACGAGCTCCTCGTGCTGTTCCGCTTGGCGCTGCAAGTCCTTGCGGTTTATATGGATTTGCCTGCACTTCCGCCCCTTCAGCGGCCCACGCTGCGCGCTATAGACAATTTGGGGCTTCGCATTAGTAGTGCCATTGCCAAATCCTCTGAAGCCGTAGCCGAATATTGAGCCCGGATCTGCTCGCCGGCGCGCCATGACCTCAGTCGCGTAGAAGTCCCTTTCCTTCTCCTTGGCCAGTAGAAGATCGCGCGACCGCTGCGCCTGGTCGATCATTGCTGCTCCATGCAAGAGGTCGCGTTGAATGTAGCGATCCAGCAAAACCGCGCCGTGCGCGGGTTGCGGTTCCATCGCGCTCTCGGTGACTGGCAATTGCGTCCCATCGCGCGAGCGTTTGCGACTCAGTTGGGCAGCGCCATTGGACTGTGCCGAGCCATTGGTCATGTTGTTGAAGGGCGCGGGCGAATGTGTTCTAGAGAGTGCCTGCGCCTGCATGGTCTCCTTTGCCTTTTGCTTTCCTTCCCGGATCGCGTCCTGTCCATCGGTATTCGAGCCCTGCTGCGGGTGGTGGTCTATCGGAAACGCGCCATCAATGTCGGGAGTCTGCGCGGCGCCGGGCGTGTTGTTCGCGTGCTGCCAGGTGGGATTCGAGGGAGTAGACGCCATGGCGGAGGAGGTTGGCGTAAGGTAAGGACGAGGGCTATGCGCGTGTGTTTTCCATCAAGACAGAAAGAAGCCCGTCTATACTGCACCGGCCATTAGTGTCTGGACAGTAGATGTCACATGTCGGGCCTGAAGAGATGCGCGAGGGCCGTAGTTACACGGCCACTTCCATCGCAGTAGCTGCGCTGGGGGTGTTATGGGGATCGGGTGCGGGCGCGGGCGTGGGTGTGGGAGCGTAGGTGGGTATGGGTGTGTGTGCGCGCGTGGGTGTGTGGGTGTGTGTATGTGTAGAGAGAGCTGGGGTAGGAAGCAGTGCATCCAAAGCGCGCGACATCAGAGCAACAGAGCAGAGATGCGCGGGTAGCAGCAGCAGCAGCAGCAGGAGCCAGAGTAGGGTAAGTGAAGGAAGAAGAGCATACCTCTTTTTTTTGCTGGAGCCAGCCTCACTGGATGGATGGATGCGCAATCACGTCGCGAAACTCGTGGTCTTCACATCATCGGGCGCGCGTTGGGAGAGCGATTTTGCCGAGCTTGAGATGGCTGCGGCGGCGGCGGCGGCGGCGGCTGACTCCTCCTCCTCCTCTGCTGAGTCTGCTCCTCTCCTCCATCTTCCTCTGCTGCGCGCCCATCTTCCCACACACACACATACACACAAACATTCACCATCGCTACATAAGGTACACATAACAGACACCAACAGGAAAAGAGAAAACAACACCCTCGCTGTGTTGCACCCTTCGCGCTGCCTGCCCAACAAATAAAACTTCCAGAAACAGAAGCATTGGCCGAGTACTGCCGAGGACCCTAAGTCCCCATCGGAATGAAATAGCAATAACTCGCTGCCTCGACCGCTTACTTGCTTGCTTGCTGCTGACTTTGTCTACCGCCGAAACCGACGCTAGAAGAAGGTCGGTCAGTGCAGGTACAGGTAGTGCTGGTGCATACAAACGACGACAGCAATTTTCTACATCTCGGCCCGGGGGGACGAAAGGGGAACTTTACACGAGACTTGCTTCTACCTACCACCTCCTCCTACTACCTCCTAGCTACTACCTACCTACCGGTTGTTCTCACTCGTCGTCTACCTAAATTAAGGTACATGTATCTCAGGTAGGCAGGTGATGGTCTGGCAATGACTACTGTGATCACGTGATGTTTTGATGCATCCATGATGTCTTGCTCGACGGCTTGCTTCCAAGCCAAGCAATAAGAGATCGTGAGAATGGAACATATCATAAGCAGATCTCGGCACAATCTATCGAGATCTCTGTTGAAATCTGCCGGTGTAAGACACGTGTATCCTTAGTACACATCTTATGTAACTCCTACGGTACCTGTGATAATCAAATTTATAGAGTCCCACTTCCTACCTTACCGTCTCTGCTTCAGCGCACTAGGTACATATACCTTACCTTAGGAACTCGTACAAGTAGAAGTCTCCTCCATCTGCTCCCTCCTTCCTACCCACGGCTCTCTTGTAGCATTCCATCATCTCATCTTCAAGCGCTATAGTCAGCAGAATCATAGACGAGAAGCCATTACTCTCGTACAAGTAAAAGTCTCCTCTATCCGCTCCCTCCTTCTTACCCCCAACCCTCTTGTAGCATTCCATCATCTCATCTTCAAGCGCCCTAGTCAGCACAATCAGAGACGAGAAGCTATTACTCTCGTAAGTACAAGTACAAGTCTCCTCTATCCGCTCCCTCCTTCCTACCCCAGCCTCTCTTATAGCACTCCATCATCTCCTCTTCAAGCGCCATACTCAACAATTGCAAACAAGAGAGCCTACTACCTACCTTACCTATACCCGCTTCTCACCAAGCTCTCGTATCACCAAGGTACCTACCAGGTAGCCATTCTTCAAATCCTATTACTCCTGCAATTAGAAGTTTCCTCTCTCTTATTACCTACCTCATTCCTACCCTCGACTCTTTTGTAGCAGTCTATCGGCGCTTCTGTAAGCGCTATAGTCAGCGCAGGTGTAAGTGAGAAAGGCCTTACTATACCCGCTTCTTACCTAGGTAGCTTATCAATTTCAGCGAGAAACGAGAACTACAAATTGCTGATAATCGATTTTATCATACCTTGAGACTAGGAAGTCACTCGTGGCAAAACAAAAGACAGAAAGGCTTATACAAAGGAGACATGTGAGACTGGAACTTGCCGTTTTTTTTTTCTTTCTTTTTGTTTCTCTCATTATACTGAGTAGTAGTAGTATCGTGACGGACAGAGCAGCATTGAAAACCGTCACAATGCTGCTCTGTCCGTCCTATTCATCGCGCTGACTGCGCTTCCCGCGTTGCGCGGGCACACTCATCTACATTCCGGGCGCTGGGCATCTCCGGCGAACACAAAAACAAACTGGAGGCGCAAGCAGCAAAATTTACTGCGGTTTTGGCTGGCCTTCGATGTTGCGCAGGATGGCGCCAAAGTCAACACCCTGCGGGGCTGAGCTCGCCTGAGCGGGCGTGGAGGGAGCGGGTGGTGGGTATCCTGTGGCATGCTGCTGCTGTGGTGGAGCGTACGGATATGCAGCATATCCTGCTGGGTGAGCTTGCTGCTGACCATGTGGAGGATATGCCTGGCCCTGCTGCTGCGGCATGGTGGGAAACTGTGGCGGGAAGTGATACGAACCTGGCACTGGTGGTGCTGGCGGCGGTGGGGCCCAGCCTTGAGGAGCACCATAGTTATTCTGATATGGTGGCCATTGCTGCGGTGGTGGAGCGGTCGGGGCCTGCAAGGGGTGGCCGTTGAACGTCGGAGCCTGGTAATGCTGCTGTGCATGCGGCGCGTACGATCCAGTGTTGGCCGGATAATAGCCCGGCGGCTGAGCCTGCGACTGCATCCACGGAGAGTTGCCGCTTTGGTACGGGTTCGAGTACCCAGTTTGGGTAAAGCCTCCCGAACTAGGTCCGCTGTTGTCCCTCGAGCCTCCTCCGTAACCACTATAGGGACCCGTACCTCTGCCTCTATTACCACCACCTCGACCTCTGTCGCCACCTCGGCCTCCACGAGCACCTCGACCTCGGCCGCGCTCAAAACTACGCGTTGCTGGTCTTGGAGGTGGCGGTCCATACAGGTTGTCAGGCCGCCGAAGGGGGTTGTACCCGCCATCGTCCAGATCATCCTGACTGGAGCCAGGGTGGGCAACCGTGGCCGAATCCTGTGCTGGCTGCTGTGATGGTCCTTCGTCATCATAGTCTAAGGGTCCGTAGGAGCCTGTGGACATAGGCGCGTCGATGTTACCGCCGCAGCCACTTCCATCAGGGCGTCCCACCTTGCCACCCCTGCCACCTCTGGTAGCAGGTCGCGAAAGTTGACCCTTGCCAGCCTTCTTCAACAAATTCAACTCCTTCTTTTTCCTCTTGCTGATGATCTCTGCCTCATCGTCGGAAAACTCCTGCTCATCCTCACCAACTTCTTCGTCGTATATGTTCGATGCGTCTGTCCCCTTCATCGCTTGAAGTGGTGCTGTGAAGACCTTGATGCTGTGTTCATCGACGTAGTAGACTTTGCTGCCCTGTTGGATGCGAGCCTCTTCGAGCTCTTTGCTGTTGGCGAAGCCCACGAGATAGATGGGCTCCTGTGTCGGACCGAGTAGATCGCTAACCACACCGATGACTTCGCGAGTTTCGTGGCAGAGCACAGAGCCCTGGTCCACAACGAAGTGTGTGCCATCCGATCTGAATCCCTTGACCAGGACCACATTCCCGACGATGCTCTCTACGTGCCCAAGATTTGTGATTTTCATCTCCGGCGTGATATTCATAACTGGCCTGGGTGGGTATTGCTCTTTCTTCTCGTTGATCGTGCGTGGCTGACCGTCTCCGGTCTTCTTTGCTTTGTCACCATCATCACCCCCCTCCTCGTCCTTATTCATGAGAAATTTCGTCAAAGCTTCCGTGTCCATGAAGACGATGTCGCTGTCAGCATCCGAGGCGGTTTTTGTCTCGTCATCATCCTTTGTCTCGTCATCATCTGATGATGATGAGTATGGTGAGGAGTCCTCCTCCCACTCAGCTTCTGTGTTGCCACTCGGTGGCTGCGCTGCAGTCTCCATCTTTACATCACCAACATCGCTTTGGATGGACACCTCAGAAGTCTCCTCCTTGTCGAGGGTCCCAAGGTCCTCGTTGGACTCTTTGGAGCGAAGCGGCGGCGATTTCTCATCATCACCCATATCTGCGCCCGCTGAGCTTGCTGCAGAGACTTTCTCTTGCTTGCTGTTGACTACGTTCACACCTCCACCATTGTCTCTCTCTGCCGCTGCTGTCGCCGCTGACAAAGTGAGGTTTGCTGATGGATCAGTTACAATCTCTCCAGTCTCGTGCGGCTCAGTCATGTTGCCGGTCTGTGGGGGAGTGGTCGTCGATGGCACGTCTGGTGCGAGTTGAGCAGAGATCACGTCGCGCGGCGTACTGCTGCTTGACCCGTCGAGCGGCGCTTCAATGCGCATGCGCTTGGAAGGTCGTGCTTCGTCTTGTTCTTGGTCTACAGTTACCATTAGCGCAGCGAGTGCTGTCGTGAGCAGTGCTGAGAAGTGGTTTGTGTTTTGGTAGAATGTCGCTCGCGTCGTTGTGGTGGAAAAGTTCAAAAGTTCAAATCAATAATTTCGAGGAGCTTGGGCCCTGGCTCCGTCACCAGTCATGGCCGCCAAGAGGTCGTGTTGAACGGGGAACGGCTTCCGCCAGTTCTCGGGCATGGGAAGAGTACCGTAGCTTAATATTTAATAACTACATGTACCCACCCTACTACTACTACTACCAGGTAGGGTCGAAAGACTTGCATTCACCATGGCCCCATCCACGCCTCGAGCCATCAGCGCGAGCAGACCGAGGACAGCATCGAAATCGCCGCATCGCCCTACCAAGCTGCCATCAGGGGCCCGGTGAGCATTTCTATTAACATGGCCTACCAATCTAATATGTTGCTGAGCATCATGCAGTTCGTCGCCGAGTTCCCCTTTCCACATCTCCACCTTAGCGGCCTCGTACATCTTCCTTGCGGCTCACACGGTTGCTGCGCTCTATAGTCCTATTCAGGACTGTGATGAAGTGTTCAACTACTGGGAGCCCACTCACTACCTCAATCATGGCCATGGCTTTCAGACCTGGGAGTACTCACCCGATTATGCCATTCGATCATGGGCGTACAGCGGGATTCATGCCCTCGTCACACCCTTTGCCCGGCTTCTTGCAGCCCGTAGGCCAAAAGCCGCCGAATTCTACTTCCTTCGGATCGTGCTGGGGGCCATCTGCGCGATGTGTGAAGCAAGGCTCTATTCCAAAATCACCAATGTGTTGAACCCGAGGATCGCAATGTTCTATCTGGGCATCACAGTCACGAGTCCCGGGTTGTACCACGCCAGCGTCGCATTTTTGCCCAGCAGTTTTGCTATGTACTTTGTGATGCTTGGTGTGGCAGCTTTCATGGACTGGCGGGGTGGTTTGCGTACCGCACAGGGAATCTGGGCCATCGGAGTGGGCGCCTGCATAGGGTGGCCTTTCGCTGCCGCCATGGTTATACCGTTCCTGGCAGAGGAGCTGCTATTAGCTTCTCTGAGTGATCTTCATGGTATGAAAGACCTTATGTGGCGAATTGTTGATGGAGTCGTTCGGACTCTTTTCACTCTTGCACTGCAGATTGGAGTCGATACCTTCTTCTACAAAAAGACAGTGTTGGTACCTTTGAACATTGTGCTTTACAATGTCTTTAGTAGCAAAGGTCCCGAGCTCTACGGAACAGAGCCATGGCACTTTTACTTCAGAAACCTGTTTCTCAACTTTCACGTCTGGCTGTTGCTGGCGCTTCTGTCGATGCCGCTTGTGCTCGCACAGCACTTCTTCCGAACGAAAGGCGCGACGAGAGCAAGCTATCTTCGTGGAGTCATCTTCGTCACACCCTTCTACCTGTGGCTGGCGATTTTCACGCTGCAGCCGCACAAAGAAGAGCGATTCATGTACCCGGCGTACCCAGCTCTGGTCTTGAATGCCGCTATGGCCTGCCACATCATTCTCGCCAATCTCGGCTCCAATGACCCAAAGGATCTCATGAGCAAAATCCCCGTTCAGCTCCGCCTCCTTGGAATCGTCGGGTTTGTGCTTGCCGCGACTGCCATTGCAGCCTTCCGAACTCTGGGGACAATGACCGCTTTCGGCGCTCCACTGTCTATCTACGAACCACTCCATCGCGCAGGCGTTTCTCAAGCTGGAGACCAAGTCTGCCTGGGCAAGGAATGGTATCGCTTTCCATCACATTACCTACTCCCCAATGGAGTCCGAGCAAAGTTTGTTCGCAGTGAGTTCAAGGGCCTATTGCCCGGCGAGTTTTCCGAAGCTGGACAGGGCTTTGGGTTGTTTCCTGGCACATGGCTGGTACCACCAGGCATGAACGACGAGAACCGAGAGGATGCCGGGAAATACGTCGACCTCAAACACTGCAAATTCCTCGTTGATCTCCACCTTCCGAGTACACAAGTGACGGGACTCGAGCCAAGCTACATCACCGATGACAAAAACTGGGACAAGGTCAAGTGCCTACCATATCTCGATGCTGGGTCGACTGGGATCGTTGGACGGCTTGGCTGGGTCCCAGACTTGCCGTTTGTACCTCTCCAGTACAAGCGGGTATATGGCGATTATTGTCTACTGAAGAGGAAGAAGAGCACAGCAGGGGATGCGAAGCAAACGCTGCCGAATATTGAGACGCTGTTATAATGCGCAGTGTCCAACTTGCAATGTACAAACAGCCGAGTGCAACAGAATCACTACCTACCACACTCACAGTCACAGCCTTACCCCAATAATCAACTCGGAATTGCTGATAACTTGCAGGTAACAGAGAGGTGTAATGGAGGATGTGCGCAGTGTATAGGTGTTGGTGGTATATGGCTATATGCATTACCGGTCTCATCTTTTTGCCCGATCGGGTAAACCGAGCCTATCATCCTTGGAGGATGTTGGAGTTGACGACTGCTCACGTGGGCGCGATGTTACTCTACATGTACCTACTTCACGGATCGGCTTTCTTATCGCAGATTATGGTCGTCGTGTCTGATTACCTACGATCGCGACGCAATATCACAATGCGACAAAAGCTTGTAGTGCTCTATAATATGATATCCAGTGAAGCGCATCTTCGACCTCGACGATGAGCACTCCCGCCGAGTCTGAGAAAATCCTCCAGCCACGCTCCCAACACATTCTGGGCGCCGCAACCATTCCGGCCCCACTATACATATCGCTTTTGAGCATATTATTGATCATCTGGGCATTTGTGTATATTCGACCAACAAGCGTACTACCAGGACGGTCGTTATGGCTCAGATGGCATTGGCCACGCTCGAGGAAGTCCACGCCTGTCCCGCAAGCCGTCGTCGACGCGCACACCAAGAAAGTCGATCGCAAATTCGGCAGTCAGTATTCCTGAACCAACCCTTTCGTCAACTACTCCTCTAAACAGACTGCAGCATGGACGCCTATCGAGTTCGAGCGACCGGCGGTAGCTCCTTACCCGAACTGGTCTGTCACTGATACATCTCCTCTCAAGTATCGACCATTCCGTTACGGACCGAAATACAACATCACCATGGGGCTTCGAACGCTCCACCAGTGGGATGACTGGATTGAGCTCGACAATCACTATCTGCGCTTCCATGCCGACAAGAAACGCCGCATTGAAGAGCGAGGCGCCAAATGTTGCAGAACCGATGACTCTGATCCTCGCGCCCTCGATGGCGCAGTCGAACTCTTGGAAGAACTCGCCTCCTATCTCCCCGAACGCTACCCTTCGATGTTCCAGAAAACCGACGTGGGGATCGACAACATCATCACGCACGAAAGTTTTGACATCCGCAAAGATCGTCTCACCATGAACGGCCACGCGGAAGATCCCATGCAACTCTCCGCACGTCTCATCCAAGACGACCTCGCCATCATGTTTGAGAGAGAAGATGGTATCTACTACTTCCTCGCGGGATCAATTCTGCTCGCTGGGTTCTGGCGCCTCGAAGATAAATTCGGCATGGGCCTCCCGGAAATTCACACGTCCGGCCACGTCCCCGGGTACGAGAGCAAACTCCACAAAGGCATGACGAATGCCTTTCGCCGCATGATGCCCGACAAAGTCGTGCTGCGCCACAACTACTTCATCCAAGTCGACGAGGATTTAGCGTGGAGCTACAGCATCGGCGACGAGGACCACGATGGCCATGGCTGGTTCACGGCGGAGAAGAACAAGGCCATCGAACACCATTGGTTCCGCTCCGAGAGGCAGTCGCTGCGAAGATTGCCTCGGAGTGGGGGGATTGTGTTTACCATTCGCACGTACTTTCATCCAATTACGGAAATTGCAGAGGAGCCGTATGTCCCCGGGAGACTGGCGAGTGCGGTGAGAAGTTGGGGAGAGGATGTGAGTCAGTATAAGGGTAAGGAGAGGTATGGGGATGTGTTGTTGGAATATTTGGATCGTAAACATGAGGAGCAGGTTGCGAAGGGGCTGGATATGGAGAGGGAAGAGGAGTTGAGGCAGTATCCTTGGTAGAGCTGTTTGTGTGTTGATGCGGTGAATGTGTATGTTGGGGAACAGGAAAGAGTCTCTCTCTCTCTCCCTCCAGCTTCAAATAACATAATACGTTCTTGCCTGAGGTATCCAATGCCAAGTAGTGAGTGAGCTAGGGCCACCTGTAAGGTAGATATCGTGTCAGCAGGTAGGTACCTCCCCAAGGACCAAGGTATACCGTAATCCGTATATGCGCTCACGCGGCAAAAAGATGTTGCAAATACCACCGGCCCGGCTAAATACAGCAACAACATGTTGGAAGAAGAAGGACGAGACAAAAAACTTAGTCACAATTCTCGCTAGTCGGCTAGCCAGTGCCGTTCTATTGCCGAGTTAGCTCCTCTCCTCTCCTCTCCTCTGGGCTCCCGTCCTCCGTCTGGCAGACGAGGTGGTACGGGCAACTTTAAAAAAAGTCATCATAATGACTTGTCGTATGTGTCGTCCAGTGAGAGAATTACATGTACATCCATGGATGCACTGAGCTGCGATACGGGCTGGGTTTTTTGTATTTTTTACCTACCTTAGTTGTATGATACCTACCTACCTATAGGTACCTTTTGGAGTGGTAGAGTGGAAGTTCCTACTGTACTGTACCTGTATTACTACTATACAACTGCCCTATCCATCTGCATTTTTGGGGGCGATTGTCAATGGCGTGCAGATCGGATTTCACTTGAAGAGAAAAACCTGGAACTCAACCTGCATGTGTGTACTTGGCACACTACCTTACCTTACTCACCACAGCAAGTATGACAGACGAACACCATCTCTCGGCTCTGGAGAAAGAAATTGAAGCAACAGAGCGAGATTCCAGTCCGGAACGAACAACAACAGATGAAGAAGCGGTGCAGGACAAGGACAAGGACAACAACGACAACGACACAAGAGAAGATGCCCTCCTCGAGCGTGAAGAAGCTCCTCCCGATGGAGGATACGCATGGGTCTGCTGCGGCGCACTCGCCATTCTCAATGCCTTCACGTGGGGTGTCGCAGCTTCCTACGGAGTCTACATCTCACACTACCTCGCCAACGACTACTTCCCCGGCGCCCGACCGCTGGACTTTGCGTTGATCGGTGGGTTGGAATTCGGTGTGGCAATGATCATCTCCCCGCTTTGCACCATGCTCACGCGCGAATGGGGTCGCTTGGTGGTCATGTCTACGGGCTGTGTCATGTTTGCTGGGGGTTTCATCGCGGCCAGCTTCGCGAGTGAGATCTGGCAGCTGTATTTGAGTCAGGGAGTTTTGATTGGATTGGGACTGGGAGGGATTTTCATTCCGAGCATTCAAGTCTTGCCGCAGTGGTTTGCGAAACGGAGGAGTCTAGCGGGAGGCATTGCGAGTGGTGGGTCCGGATTTGGAGGGTTGGCGTTTAGCTTGGGCACGAATGCTATGATTGAGCAGATTAGCCTGCGGTGGGCACTGCGGATCACTGGTATACTGTGCTTGGTGGGCAATTTGACGGCAACGCTGCTGGTCAAGGATCGGAATCATGTGGTGAAGCCACCGCAACTGGGCTTTGCCACACATCTCCTCCGGAGATATGATTGCGTCTTGCTGCTTGCGTGGGGTTTCGTCAATCTGTTTGGCTACATGGCAGTATTGTATAGCCTGAGCAACTATGCTGTGGCCGTGGCGGGCCTGACGCAGTCGCAGGCGAGTCTCTTGACTGCCATACTGAATCTGGGCACGGGGTTTGGACGACCTCTTGTCGGCCTGGCGAGCGATCGACTGGGTCGGATTGAGGTGGCAGCATGCTCCACTCTGTTCAATGCCATCCTGATCTTCGCCGTCTGGATTCCTGGCAATAGTTACGGCGTCTTGATCTTCTTTGCGATTGTTGCTGGCGCCTTCATCGGGACCTTCTGGATGACCATTGGACCACTATGCGCAGAGGTCGCTGGTCTCGCCGAGGTACCATCATTCCTCTCATTGCAATGGCTGACGACAGTGCTGCCCACGACATTTGCGGAAGTGATTGCGCTGTATCTTCGCCGACCGAGCATGGGCCGATGGGGCTATCTGTACGCGCAGGTATTTGCAGGCAGCATGTATCTGGTGGCATCATTCTTTCTATTTGAGCTGTGGAGGGTGAAGCGCAGTAAGAAGTAGTACGGTATCAGTACCAGTAAAAGCAGATAGATATAACGTTGTATCCTGTTCAAGGTCCATCATGTATACTGTATAATCGCGTTGATAGGAACCAAGGTTGTCATTCCCACCACTTTCGGGCGTTGTTGACATGTGTAAACAAATAAACATGCCCACCCAGCTGGATTATCTCTCTTTCACTCTCTGTCACTGGAGACTCACGCCCAGCACAAGTCACGCCCAACGACCATGGCGGACGATCTGATCGACTTCAATGTGATTGAAGGACAGAAGGAGAACATCCAGGCTCTTCCCAGCGGCCGCTCCGCCAAAGCGCTGGCCCAGCTCTACTCACCACCGCTGCTGGGAGCCAACCCGACGCCGAACGATGCGCATGCAGAGAAGCGCGCCGAGTTTGAGAGGGAACTGGCCAACATCGACGAGGCCGACGATCCGCTCGACGTCTACGATCGATACGTCAAATGGACACTCGACACATACCCATCCGCACAAGCAACACCGCAATCACGACTACTGCCTCTCCTAGAGCGCGCAACAAAGACGTTCCAATCCTCCAAAGACTACAAGAACGACGTGCGATATTTGAAGATTTGGCTACACTACATTCGACTCTTCTCAGATGCGCCTCGGGAAGTGTTTGTGTTTCTGGCGCGACATGGCATTGGCGAGGGTCTGGCGTTGTACTATGAAGAGTTCGCGGCGTGGCTGGAGAACGCGGGACGATGGAGCCAGGCGGAGGAGATCTACAAGATGGGCATCGAGAACGAGGCTCGTCCCTCAGAACGGTTGATGCGCAAGTTTGGCGAGTTCGAGCGGCGGAAGGAGGCACGACCAGAGGACACAACGGAGCCGTCGAGTCCAGCTTTGCCTGCTGCGCGGCCGGCGTTGGCAGCAAAGACGGACCCTTTTGCTGCTGTGACGCCTTCTCCTACTCAACAGCAGCAGAGTAGTCGCAGTGCTGCGGGCGGCAGCAAGAAGGCGAAAATGGCCATCTTCACTGACGGCGGCGAAGACTCGAGACCCGCGTCTGGAAGCAGCTCGAAGGGTTGGGACAACATTGGAACGCTTGCAGATCGCAAGAAGGAGAATGCCGCAGAAGTGAAGCCTATGGCCGGGCAGAAGCTCATGGCTGGTAAAACAAATACTGGCATGCAGAAGATGATGATATTCAAGGACCAGGTAAGTCACCCTCCCGCGATCTGACAGGAGACCACGTATTTACGAATGCAGGACTAAATATCGCGTGTTTCGTAGTCTTCTCGTTCAATGCCACGACATCTTTCCTCGCACTCGTCGTCATCGAGTAGTAGCCATGAGCAGCAGTGCGTGTTCAATGAAAAGACTGGTAGGCTGGAGTGCGTTTTTGTAAACCTTGAGGCTGTTTACCCAGTGACAGGCAATCTGGCTGTGGAGTACTGCTTTGAAGAGCTACGAGCGCGACATCGAGGGTGGTTGGACAAGGATTGGCGGAACGAGCAGCAGCAGCAGAAGAAGCCGAAGAAACTGACCAAGAGCGAGTCTTTCGACATCCAGTTGGACACGCCAACGCCCCTACAAGAGCAGATGCAACAAGAAGACGCGCCTTTAGCAAAGTCGGTCATCAAGGACAAGCCGTTCACCATCTTCTCCGATGCTGACCAGGAGATGCCTATTTCGCGACCGACATCGAAGCAGAAAGGGTTCAAAATCTTTGAAGACACGGATCTCGAACCCAGACCGCTGCCCAAGCCTGAAGTTTCCAGCAGACCTACGACAGTCACGAAAACTCTGGCATTGAATGACGAGAACGATGAGAACACGCCACCTTCCAAGCAAGAAATCGATGCAGCCAAGAAGGCGAGACGCGAAGAACGCGCAAACCGAACGCGCAAGATCAAGGTGATGGAAGTCCAGCACATCAAGAACGAGACGCAGACGATCAAGCTGAACATGGACTCGCCGAAGTCGAAGCCGAAGCGAAGAAAGTCGGTTGCCCCTGAACCAACAATGACAATCAACACTAAAGAGGCCATGGACGAGATTTATGGTATCTTCAGTGCACCCCTGCCATCCCAATCGGAGCAACAACGGCAGGAAGAGGAGTCTGAAGAGGAGAGTGACGAGGACAGCGAGGATGATGAAGATGATTACACGACTGGGGACGAAAGCACAGCAACGGGCAAACTCTCGGCTCCCGCGAGCGAATATGGCGATGAGACGCGAAATGAACTCCTTGGAGCGCAATGTGACGATGATCGCACTGATGTATCAGGCTGGTCCGACTTTGACACAAGCAAGCACGTTCCAAAGGAAGACGACGAGAGCGGTGTGACATCGGCGCAAACCACAGTACAGGACACTTACGAGGTGGACGAAGCCATGACTCCTGTCCACGATGAGAATCCTCAGACCCGCTACATTCCCGTGGCCCCAGAAGACTACGAACCGCCTGTAATGCAGATGCGTGACATGAACATAGTGCCCAATCACAGGCTGCCTTTTATGACGCCCATTGTTGAGCAGACGGAGTCGTCATTGGGTATACCCACAGGGAGACCGGAAAAGGACTACTTTGGTGCAAAGACGCCTAGTAGAAAGATTGGTATGCCTGTTGGGTTTGATGATGAAGATGGAGAAGACGAAGATGAAGACAATGAACCTCCTAGCAGTCCATTTGATGATGTGACAGCTGACATGGATGAAGACAAACGCAGGGTCCTTCAACCTATTCGAACGAAGAGCACCAAAGGCACGTTGTCACTTGGACAGGGCACATCTAAAGCACAAATTGATGCAAAATTAGAGGGACCTGCGAACGCGGACACTGTCCAGAAAGGTCCCATTGTCAAGGACCTTCAGTGCAATCCCATGGACCCATGTCTTCGTCAAAGCATTCTCTCTCAGATGAAGCCATCTCTGACGACCTACGAAGGTTACCACGAGCATCTCGATGCTGTTTCAGGGAAGACGTCAGAAATCAAGAAGTACATCAAGCAGCTACAAGCATCACGAAAGAGCCAAAGCCAGTCTCAGGAGAAGACTTCCAACATACCGCCTATGGTTGCCTTTCCCGGAGCAGGTGGCATTTATACCATCAAACGAGAGCTCGGAGCCGGTACTTTCGCTCCCGTCTACTTGGTCGAGAATAGTGCCGCGGGCTCTCTCGAAGAACGAGAAGATCTTCTCGGTGATGACCACGACGATGGCCAAGAACTTTCTTCTGTTTCCACTTCACGTCTGGGAAAACTCACTCATAGAAGACCTCTGGAGGCCATCAAGATGGAAGAACCACCTTCATCCTGGGAATTTTACATTTTACGTGCCACACATCGAAGATTAGGCGTTAGTCGCGCTTCAGAGTCCATTGTCAAAGCCCACGAAATGCATCTCTTCCGGGATGAATGTTTCTTGGTCGAAGAATTCCGAGACCAAGGGACTCTTCTCGACCTGGTCAACATCGCTCGCTTAGAATCCGGTTCGAATGGTGGCATGGACGAGATGTTGTGCATGTTCTTCAGCATCGAACTCCTCCGAACAGTAGAAGCCATGCATTCCAAACACCTCATCCACGGAGACCTCAAAGGCGACAACATCCTCGTCCGCTTCGACGATCCAGGCATGGAAACCGACTGGTCCAATACCTATTTCCCGTCGGGCGCTCATGGCTGGTCGAGTAAAGGCATCTGTCTCATCGACTTTGGTCGTGGAGTCGACATGAAGCATTTCGAAGACCACGTCGCATTCATCGCGGATTGGAAAACCACGGATGCGGATTGTGCAGAAATGAGAGAATTGCGACCGTGGACCTATCAGATCGATTATCACGGTATGGCGGGTATTGTGCATTCGCTACTGTTTGGCAAATATATGGAGACGAGCGCGGATAAGGGTGGCCCTTCCTCGTCTTTGGGCGTAAGTCATCTTGGTGGTGCGACGAAGAAAACGTATCGCATCCGAGAGTCTTTGAAGCGGTATTGGCAGACGGAGATTTGGAATGAATTGTTTGGGCTGTTGTTGAACCCTCTCATGCATGTCGAGAATGAGGATGGGAGGAAATTGCCTGTGGTGAGGAGTTTGAGGAGTTGTCGTGAGAGAATGGAGGGTTGGTTGGAGGAGAATTGTGAGAGAGGGGTGGGATTGAAAGGGATGATTTTGAGGATGGAAGGTGCTATACGCGATCGGAAGAGGAAGGGTGTGAGGTCTTGAATTGTTTGAGGGCGGGCGGGTGAAGCCATTCTCTGTCTCTCTCCTGTCTCGGTCCTTTTTGGCGTTTGATGGATTTTGATGATATCCACGTTGGCATATTGGGGTGCAGGAGCGAGTGGATTGTATAGATTTCGTATCTCGCATCATCATCATCGACTTTTGAAGTACAGGAAGAAAGAGATAGACCCTCTACTATCTCTTCAAATTCTCTTCCAGTTGAATTCAAGAGTCCTCCAACCAACCAGCCTTCTCACTCTAAAATTTCCCTTCTCCCCTAGAAGAAAAACCCCCAACCCATCATTCTCCCCCTTCCCTTCCCCCTCAAAGCAGATCTCTCCCCCCCCCCC